ATACACTGTAAGTGAACCAATTATTATTATTATATGGGTTTGGGGTGCTGTTTTATAACTTGCATTGCATCCTGCTTCAGTCCTGCAGGGTGGAGTCTCTCCAGGATGGACTTCTATTGGCCCTCCAATTTCATCTGTCAATGATGGAGTCCAGACATAATTGAGCCTTTGGGTTACGAAGGAATAAGTTTTCCAAGCTTGTTCACAACAAATCAACGCAGTGTAACAGCAGGATCACATGTGGAAAAAAAGTCACCAATTTTTGCAAGAGATACAGTAGACGAGAGGAAAACAAAGACCAACCTGAAAATGTCGTTTTTGTTTGCTGCTCCTGCAGAAAAACAACTACAGTACAGGATGTGTGGGAATGGACATCCATGGTAAAACATATCCATTGTCTTGCAGCTACTGGAGGTCCACTCAAGGCTACAGCTGTGTTGCCCTGGTCCAGCATCAACATACTGTACACAAGCTCACGGGCCACTCATTTAATTGTTTTTATTTTCATTTGTTGTTTCTTTCAAAAGAGGGATTTCCAATCGTGGACATTGTAATTTTAAAGTACCTAGACTCCCAGTAGTCTATTTAAAGGCCTGTTAGGTAACATTAGCGAACATCTCTTTATGTTATTTTTATACCATTGTGTTGAATAATGTTAACTGAATGTACTTAGTCTCATTAATGCAAGATTCCACTGGCTAAATACCCCATGGATTTGACCACTGATTTACACTGATAGGCAATAATGAAGTAAACTGTACTTGTTACAGAAGAGAAATTCTCACCTAGCATTACGGTTTCCATTTCAGACAGCAATTAAAAAATCGAGTTTAGAGGTTTGCTCTAATAAAATGAAAATGGACTGATAAAACCGGAAAAAGAGATTGCTCCTTTAGATTGAAAACTCCTTTATGCATTAGAGCATGCTTCTCTTCACAGCATGCTTATTTTTCTTCACCGGTTTATCTGGGCTTAATAGCAAATGAGCTCAGCCTTTTCTACCTCACTTTCCCTCTCTCTCCGTAGGAGGCAAGGAGGGGTTAAAAAATCCCTTGCTTGCCCCTGACTTTGCCTCTTTTTCTGTCTCCCTGAATCCATTTGCAAATGATCTCGCTTGTCTGCATATTGTCACTTGCAGCCTGCCCGCACATTCATCAACTGTCCGCCATCTCCTGCCTGCTTTCTGTGCCCTCCACACTTAATTGTTCCCACTCTGACCTGGGAGAATAGAGAATGATGTGCCTTTCTCTTAGCACACATGAGTGCTGGAGGAGCGGGAGAGGAGAATTACGAGCTCTGTGGGGATGGCCGTGGCAGAGCGGTCACCCGGCAGCAGCTTCTTCTCTCAGTTTTCTGGAACAAATTGAGCCCATTAATGGGGGGATTACAAAATTGCTGCAGATTTTCACACAAACCAGCAAGCAAAGCTGCTGGCTCACACCTTGGAATACAGAACCACAAGCTCAAATCTCTGCAGCAAGGGACTCGCCTGTTTTCTATTTAATGCATCGCTCTTTGTTTGGTGGGGGGTACTTAGCTGGTGCTTGTATCGGCGTGTGTTTGGTGAACACAAACAGAACAGACAATAATAAAGATCTTCGCAATCTATTAATAGCTTTTCTGCAGTCAATAGACTTTCTTTTAAAATATACGTTTCTCAAAACCATGCTGAATCCTTTTTTTTTATTTCTAACCAAACAATGAACTGGAAGAAGGGTATGTTAACATTTCATGATCGTGAAATGTAGAAAACATCAAATTTAATGACTAAAAAATGCTCCGTATGACTTCCACTATTTTCTTTGCTAGTCAAATGCAAAACGTCAGTTCCAATACTCATTCTGAAGGTGTAGCATGTGAATTTCATGAGCCTTTACTGTTAATTCTGTTGCTCTTGGCCAGATGCAATCAAAACACTGTGGGGCTTTAAACAAAGTTAAGCCCATGGATTTAACTGCACAGTGGTCTCCACTGGACTTCTAACAACCTGCAGGTGGTTTCTCCAAGAACTTTCAGCACTTAGCAGGCTCCTGGAATTGTTCAGAAATCTCAGCTTTTTTTCTCGCGCTTTCAAAAACATTTTTTAAAAAGTTGAAGAAATCAGCCCCCTCAATTTCACATTGTTCCAGCATAGTTTTCTTTCTGTTTATTTGAAGATCCCTGTAGAAGTAAACAACCCTCCAGCTAGCTGGCCAGGCAGCTTGTTAAACCAAAAGCTAGATGAGCTACCCTCTAGGACCACTGGCATCTGATTCCCTGTGAGGAAGCTGCTTTCAGTATTCATCTCAACATGGTGGACAGCACTTTTAATAATCCTTAACTACCACTGTAATATCAGATATACTGTACATGTATCTGTTTCATACACCCTCTGCATTGGTCAATAACGTTCTATTTATCAGTTCCAGGATTTTAAAAATCTTTCCCCTCATGATTTGATGATTAGAAAATGCTTCTCATCCCTGATTTCCTGACTCCTTCTGTTCAATAATACATGACCATTTCCATTACAGGTTGAGACAAAGCATTTGAGGTAAGATGCCGTCATGTAAAGGCGGTGTCTGTGGAATTGCTTTAACATCCTTTTTTATAACATGGAAAAGGTTTTAAAACTTAAGTATGACTAAGATCTCCGAAGATCTTAGTTGACATAACTGACAAATGCCAATTTAGATTAAAAAAGGTGCTGACACATATCTGTGCATCTGGAATAAGCCACAACTCTATAGGTACTGTACATCTGCAGAATGAAAATCATTAAGAAACTTTGGTAATTTTTACACATTGTCTCAAATATCCAAACAACATAAAAAGAAAATGATTACACTTAAACTTGAAAAGTTGAATAGACAGGATTCTTCTACAAGTTTGGAATCTGAACTGCTTTAGGCACTTCCAACTAAATGCACTGTACATAGTGAAATTAATGCTGCTAGAAATGTACTTTATTAAATATTTTGTACTACCAAACCTCACCGTTTTATGAAACTTATGCTTCTTTATGGCCTATAACAGGTTAATGATGAGCCAAGAACTTCTGCAACAAGTCTTTTTACAAGGATAAGAGAAACTGTTATCTATTCTTATATACTGTTACAACTTTACCAGCCATATGTCTACTCTGCTTTGCTATAAAATATTTCTTTGCCCAACACTTGGGCTGCAGGCTGCTGCTAGATTTCCTGCTCTCCCAGGTGCACATAATTGAAACACCTGTGTGAAGACATCCAGCGCTCTGTCATGAGCTCACACTTGGCATGATGGTAAAAACAAATGGTTCAGTTAATGAATGGACTTGAGTGATCTATGTTAATAACACCGAACATGCTGATCCATCTTGAGTGAATTTTGCCACTTTGCCATGCTAAAAGTGGCGTTTTGCAAATCATAATAATTGCGTTACTTGGAAGATGTCCCTCCAAATCCCCAAATAATCCTCTTCCTCCTTTATCCCATCAGGTCTGAAAAATATTTTGTTCCAGATTGCATTTAGACTCATAATATCTGGAGATCTATCACCAGAATATCAATGTAGGGCATCACCACATACAGAAAAGAGTTAACTGAGAAACTCACAATGCACTGTCTAAATAAGCGTCTCTACAGAACCCCCGGACTGGCCTTCACCGAGTCATTGCAGAGCCCAGAAGGCAAATGAAACTGCTTGAATGTACCAACTTTACTCGGTACCGGTTTGATTTTAGCTCGAGACTGCTCTGGTCGTATATCTACCCATCTATCCATTAGCATTCCTCATGAGCAGCCACACATGATGAGGACCGCAGTAAGCTGAAGCATATCAAGGAAGCACAGGGCTTGAGGCACGAGCACAGCCCAGGTGGTCCATCGCAGGATACACACGCACGTGCGCACTCCCACGCAGGGAAAACGCAGTCAAACTCACCAGGAAAACAGTGTCCAGCACAAATCCACAGAAACAGAGAGAACATGCAAACCCCCAGAAACTCCAGAAAGAAGCCCTGGTTCGAATTCAGATCCCAAAAGCTGTGAGGTAGTCATGCTGCTGCGTCACCCTTTTATATTCAGGAGATGTAAAAAAAAAAACACGACCTAGAACACAATGTCCTGCAGAAGCCACACAGGAGATCAAACATGGAAACCCGCATGTTAGGTTTTATTAACATTTGACCTCTAAGAGAACACAGTAAAAATCCAAAGTGCATTTTAGGTTTTATTATTTTACTTTAAAAATCCTTTGCAAAACAGCTTCATATAATAGACGGAACTTGAGAAATTGCAGTGCATGCCCATGTTTAATACTCCTGCAACAGAAAATCTGTTATCAATTAGTGAGAGCATCTGTATTTTACTTTCACACTTCAACTTCCACAAAATAGAAGCTGAGAAAATACTGAGCAAACCTCCTTTTTATCCATTATTCCAAAAGAAAAAAAACTTATTTTGCTTTAAGACAAGACAGAAGATAATATTGGTAAATATGTGCATAACAACTGGATTTCTACTTAACTTTATACAGTACTGTTGTATATTAATAGAGCCTTTGTGCATTATTCATGGATGAGATTACTTTTGTGCAAGTGTCCCAGACTTACAACAAGCACATGCACTTGCTTTCAAGCATGACACGCATAATACTAACAATTCTGGACATATACAGCAGTGCAATAGTTTACTATTGCCCACAGTATTGCCCATTATAATAATAAATTCAAGAATTAAGGGGTTTTATCTTGGAATGAATGAATAATGCATGTAAAATTTCAAAATTTAATTGCGCTGAATTAAATGATTCAAGATAATGTTTCTTTTATAAATTTGTAATGGTGCTTAGGGTTGAAGAAAAAAGTGAAATATAACTTACCTGAAAAATAAAAATAAAACCAGTAAAAAAAAAAAAAGATATTGTATATCTGAAACCACAATCAAAGGCCTGTAGTTAAATCACTGTTCAAATGAGAAAAGCGAGCCAATGCATTAATCTGCTACAACACACAACATACAGAAAACACAAAGCAGGATTCAGGTGAAAATGTCAGCTATGTTTAATCTCCTAGTTTAACCAAGGAGCATAAATTACCACACAGTTAAGACAGCTTTTAACAGGACTGTTCATTTCTATACAAACTCAAGTTCTCTTTTAAAAACCAATTTATGTGAAACACAATCTGTACCAACTCCAAAACTGTCTTGTTAATGAAGAACAACATTGTATTGTATACTGATAAAGATGTGTAATCTCAGTAACTACACATTTATATACAGAGCAGCAATTACATCAAGATTGTTACAAGGCAAGAGCATCTGTACATCATTAAAATGGACTATAGCATAAAAGAAAGTTGCTTATCATCTTACTCCAAATGAAACAATTACAAAAAAAAACTACAGTGCAGGATAGAAATAAAAGGAATTGTACAGAAAAAGTACAGTAGAGAATTTGTAAACTAACTTGCTTGTCAATTTACAATTTTTCCTCACTGAATAAAACAAGATGCAAAGGTCTGATCATAAAGGACATTAAACATAAAGAGTCTCTTTAACCTAATACTGATATCATCTGTGTTCATGGTTCATATGTTTGACATGATGTGAAACATATCACAAAGAAAATATTTAAATCTCAGTTTAATACTTCCAATGACACTATGCTGTATACCAACCAGCACTTAGTTAACTTACTGTACAAACATCCCATACTAAAACTGGACATTTGTAACATGTTCAAATGCAGTATACTGAATAAGTATATTTTAAAACCTATTATATACTAATAGGCATTTTTTTATAAATCTTTTGTAAACATTTTCTAATGTGGGTTTTCTAACTTTTTTTTTTTTCACTCCTCAGGTCAACTTTCAGTTATAAATGTTCTTGTAGTCAACATTCCAGAAATGAGGGCTCTTAACACTCATACAAACTATGATTCCCCAGCTCATGCATATTTATAAAACCATTTATTGACAAGTGAATGTTTCACATAATTTAAAGAAAACGCTTAGACAAGTTAACTTTCCAAATCCAAATCTCACCTCCCATTACAAGTACTGTAGCTGAAAGAACAGCTCCCCCAACAAAAATATATTTTGAAAGATTATCCACTGGAAACACAACAAATACTCAACCCTGCATAAAAGGTTAATAAAATGATTAATGTCAATGGATGCTGGTTATTTTCACAGGAACATTCATTCCTAGTTTTTGTTTTACATTAAAAACCTGAAGCTCTGGCGTGTGCGCTGTACATATCACCCCCGCTAGATATACTTCATATTTCAGAAGTAAACATTTTGTCATTTTGCAAGAACTGAGCTTTATTCTTTACACATATAAAAGGTACATTCAAAGGATTAAGTTAAACCTAGAAGGAGCTGACAAGTAGCCTTCATGTACTTTTTTCTTTAAAATGTAAAGTCTTAAAATAAGCTGAAAAAAATATTAATATAAGCACAATGTAGGCAAAAAAGAAATAAAACCAACAATACTTTAAAAATGACAAACTTTAATGTGTCTCTTTTTGTTTTGTTAAAGATTTACAAGCAGCACTAACTCTTGAACGCGTCTCTGGTGCAAACACTGATCTAAGCCACATGGGACAAATATAGTCTTCACGCAAAGGTTTGCCATTTCAATTATATATATATTTTATTGTCACTAGATGAACAAAACTAGGACTGCCGTTCTGCTTCAGAGACATCTTTGCCATTCTGTTTGGCATCTCCAGTCTTTCAGGCACTTCCTTCTCCATATGGGGTTTCTCTGTTTTCTGTCTCGGTGCCACTGAGCTGCTTACTGTCTCCATTCACTAAAACGTCACCACCTGCATTCTCATCAGAGAGAGCCTCATTCATCTTCAGCTCCTCCTCACCTGCTTCATCTGCCTCTTCTAGCTTCCTGAGAATGATGGGCAGCTTGGAGTCGGAAACCGAGTTCTCCAGCAAAGAGATGTTGCTCTCTTCGTACTTGGGAAGGGGGGCTCCTTCTTCCAGCTGCTTCTGAAAGTGCTCCCTTTTGCTTTTGCCGCTGGCCATGGCCTTTTCCAGTATCTCCTTCTCTGCCAAACGTAACTTAATTGCTACCTTAGAATGGAATGAAAGGTCTGGTTTTTCTAACAATGACCTGTCATCCTGAGAATGAGGGGGGAAAAAAGAAGGAAAGAGAATCGATGTCAATTTCTCTGACTGCAGGACTGGATTTTCAAAGCTGTGTGTGCATGTTTAGCCTGTGCAAGCATTCTGCGATGTGCCTGTAAAATAATGCAGGACACTTCCTAGACAGGTGGAATGGCTCCAAGTCCTTAAGAACATGAATAAGAGATCTGGGGATGTAATGCCAAGTGTGCCTCCATCCTTCATACAATAAATGAGAGTTGTACATTATGTGAATTAAATATGCTACTTAATTTGCTAAACCAGTGGTAACCTGCGACTGTCACAGCTGTGACAGAAAGGAGGCATAAAGGTGCTGGTCACGTCAGCCTGTTGAAGACATGGTGGTGCAGAAGAGACCTAGCTTGACAAAGGCAGCTGTAACTCACGCAAGTAGGAGATCATCAATAGACGATAGTAAAGAAAGCCCCTTCTGCCTATGATCATCCTACTCCCTCCTAATGAACAACAAATCATAAACCAATTTAGGCTCAGTACCCACACTCCCATCAACCTGCTAAAGGAAATCAAAACTAACCCAGAACCGCATACCCATTGACTACACGAGACAGCAAAGTGCCCATTTTTAGGGATCAGGTTCTTGTCAAGCAGTGATGGCAGGGGTGCCTGGCTTATCGCAATCCACTTGCTTTCTTTCACAAAGGATTTTTAAAATCCTCATGTATCAAAAGTGATCTATCACTAAATTAGTTTTTCTCTTTAAACTGTGTTCCTACAGCAGTACAGCAGTCATGAGAAGGGATTACCTTGGTTTCCTGATTTCATTCAATTCAAGCTCTACCTCAACATGATGAAAATGGGAGGTTTCATTATTTATTACTAATGACCCACTGCTTTTTAAAATTATTCTTTAACTTGAAGCTTTTTAAATGTGACTGCATTTGAACACACATTGTGTGACCACTGTGCAAGGATTTTTTTTTTTGTGAATTTAGCCCTCAATGTTACAAACTAAGTGTCTGACGTCATTGTCTCTACAAAATACAACACCACCTAAAATATTCTGTATAATTCAAGCAATGCATTCACAATGGGTAAAGAAAAACACACAAATAGTAGTGAGACTTCAGGACTATCACTTGCTCTCCCAAAACCAGGCTTTAAGAAGAGCACTTTAAGAAACCATAGCAAACATTTTTATTTTTTTTCTTTTAACATGAACAGTATGGGTTAACTCATAAAGTCGGTCACTGTTATGAACAAACTTGCCTGGATCACAAGAGATCTTTAGAAGAAACCTCAAGCAGGTTTGGCAGGTGACAGGTCACAGATGTTTTTACTTTATCAAAAAAATTAACCACACAGAACCAGCAAATGGTTGCACTGTACATACCAAGGAGCTGTTTAAGAGCAGAGCTGAAGGTTTGTTGCAGTGCAATGCAAAGACATGAGACTTTAGGCAAACAATTTAAACACAGGTCAGTGATCTAGCACAGCACACATGCTGCTGTTATCACAGAATATAATCTTGCTTGAGATTGTTTTTTATAGCTCTCATTAGGGACAGGAAGCCCACTTTTGTAAGAAGGAAATACATAATTTTGCAGACATCCAACTGCAGACATAATTTTGCAGACATCCAACAATCTAAAGCTAAAGGAGTGCATGTGTGAGTGCATGCGAGCATTTGTGCATGACACAGTCTTGGCTCTGTGAGTGTGTGAGTGTGTGTGTGTGTGAGGCAGGGTCTTGGCTCTGTGAGTGAGTGTGAGTGTGTGAGTGTGTGAGTGAGTCAGGGTCTTGGCTCTGTGAGTGAGTGTATGTGTGTGTGTGTGAGTGTGTGAGTCAGGGTCTTGGCTCTGTGTGTGAGTGAGTGTGTGTGTGTGAGTGAGTCAGGGTCTTGGCTCTGTGTGTGAGTGAGTGTGTGTGTGTGAGGCAGGGTCTTGGCTCTTTGAGTGTGTGTGTGTGTGAGTGAGGCAGGGTCTTGGCTCTGTGAGTGTATGTGTGTGTGAGTGAGGCAGGGTCTTGGCTCTGTGAGTGTATGTGTGTGTGAGAGAGGCAGGGTCTTGGCTCTGTGAGTGTATGTGTGTGTGAGAGAGGCAGGGTCTGGGCTCTGTGTGTGTGTGTGTGCGTGCGTGTGTGCGTGTGTGCGTGTGTGCGTGTGTGCGTGTGTGCGTGTGTGTGTGAGTGAGAGAGGCAGGGCCTTACCTCTGTGCTCGTCTTGTATGTTTTCAGGAGCAGTGTAGTTCTGGTTTCCAGGAAGGTCCAGAGTTTTATCTCATTTTCCCAGCTGACTGGGAACTCCGCATTACCAAGAGTAAAGATTTTATCGATGGCATGGTCACCAACAAGGTACTCTTTCAGCTCATCTGCAATCATATACATCTAGTAAATACAAATATCTCATACTTTGAGGAACAAATAGTTCATTTCTATATGCAATTTGTACTTAAAAATGAATATACCTTTCAATTTAGTTACTGTATATATGCTAGATTTTAGTATTACCTTATGGGTAATGAGATTATATTCATTCAATAAACTATTGTGCCATTTTTACACATATTAAGCATTGTATCTAAGCTGCTAAACCGACCTGCTGGGCTGCAGTCAGTTTAAAATTGACATTTCAAACTGGGATAGTGTAGTGCTGCTTCAAGTAACCAATTGTCTTGCCAGAGGTCATGGTCTTGCTACATGCAATCTACGACACAAATACATTCTGTGTACATGTGCATAAATATTTCAGTTGTACTGCACTATTCTTTTGTGTTAATTTTGCGACATCTGTTTGGAAGGGCTTGATCAATTAAGCACCTTAGGGCAGCTCCTAGTAGGACTGTGCAAGAGGCACTCAGGCACAGGCCAGAACTGCATCTTTAGGAACCAGGCAGAGCCACAAGCCAGAACCTGCCGGAAATCGAATCGGACACAATAACGGTGTAAAAAGCCACGAAAGAGCCTTACCTTCAGTCATGCAGAAGACCCGCAGGAAGGCCAACAGCTGGGCAGAAATGGGAGGCTCACTACAGTGCAGTGCAAAGATACTGGACCTAACGCAAACACAATTCAAGCACTACTCAGCCATCGACCACAGACACTGCCGCCATCATATTGCATGTTTTGAGCTTTTCATTAAGGACGTATTTTCAAAAGGCCAACGAAAACAGGATATTCTATGCCATGTAATCTTCATCTGAATCCTTTTTAAACACATGCAAGCGAAGACTGTTTGAAACAAACCATGAAAAAAAAACATTTGATAATGATTACAGAATATCTAAGCAAAGATGGAAAACAAACTTTCCCCGTGTACACTGGTTCTTGAAAGCTTTACCTCTACTTTAAAACGCAACTCAGTTTTAATAATAATAATAGTGTCAGTTGAAAAAATGAAATTAGTTCGTTAGAATTGCATCAATCCTCAAACAATCCATTCTCAGAATAGAAGGTATGAAAAATGATTGGTACCCAACCAATATCATATGAACTCATCTTTTTTAAATTAAATCACAGTACCAGGAATACAGCAGGGCATTCTAGCAGTATGTGTTAGTTCTACAAGGCATATTAGTGATCTAACAGCAATGATTACATATCAGGTGCCAGTGAATTTTCCACCTCTGCTGAGAAGTGATTGATCTGAACAGATGAAAGTCCAGTGAACTCAATGCATTTTTAAACACACTGAATAATTTATAATTTACCGTTTAATCATTGCAAAATTCCATCAGATTTTCATCTGATAAGTTTTGTTTAAGAGAACGCTATATGTTAGTTTCCTTCAACATTACAGTATATAAAAGATCATTTTAGGAGGCCAATACTTTCAAGCACAACAATGTATTGATCAAGGGCTTAGAGGAACATTATACAGGACACAGCTGACATTATTGCTTTTGAAAATGCATTATGGAACTCTTGCAGCTTTGCAATGAAATTATCCCTGCCCACTTCTTCACCAAGAGTGAATTCCACAGAGAAAGTTTAACCAATATCTCAGACCACACGGGTTAAGATATGGTTTGCTTTCTGCCTGCAACAATGACACTTTATTTACCCCCTGGAAATAAGGGAGAAGATGCATTTCGTACATCGTGAATGACAAGCACGGGCCTCGTCACTACCCGTGGAAACAGGAACGAGCCGCACGAGGAGTGCCCATGGCAGGCGTGGGCGGCGGACCGCGAGACGGCGGTACTCACGACGGGATGCCAGCGCGCGCCAGGACTTCTGCCTTCATGGCGTAGAGCCGCTCGCTCTTGCTCACTCCGAGCTTGATCTTCACGCGATCGTGGGAGTTGTTGTCGTGGAAGAAACCATTGTGGATCACAAGCTCAGCATTAGACCTGGTCCCATAGAAAATGTAGATCTGAAAAAAATAAGCAGCAGGTGAAGCTTTCTTCCGTTTACTAGAGCATATTAAGCGTTTCAAAGGACACAGTTTTGATTATCTGTGTATTTTGTACACTGCGGGATTTATTTCACATTTGCTCTTGTCCTGCAGACTGGTCAACTGTGTTCATCTTGCCCTTCCATTCACAGCAAGACAAGCACAAGATGGCAAAAACAAAATGATAAACCAAGGCGAAATGTGCAATTTAATACAGTATCTTCTAACCTGCCTTCCCTACTTTGTCTTAGTGCTCTTTGTCTTTGATGTACAAATACAAAGGCACTTCTTATCGGTTGACAAATTAAGTATATATAAAATTAAAATGAACATTCAAATATTCATCATATCATTATGTTTAACTACTATCTAGCATAAACAGTCAAAACACAGCTATATCATGCTGATAAGCCCTTATAGGAACAGCTATAGATGGCCGATTATCTTTACCTAATTAACGCGAAGCAGATTTAGAACTCTCCTTGGACTGTTCTGATTGCTAGTGTTGTGAAATGATCATATCTAATGAATATTCAGTTCTTTTTTACAGCTCTTAAAAACATCCCAGCTCTGAATGAGACAGTTATACAGACATATACAACCAGATGGATACAATTAAGCACAAATGAAAACACTGCAAGAATAACTCATTAGTTGCTTGTATTGATAAGGTGTTGAAGGGTTTGGTGCAACACTGTGAAATCCTTTGAGAAATCAGTCAGCAATATGAGTGATTGTGTTGCTACAGTTTTCGTAACTGCATCAGTTTCACAGCTCTTCATTCAAGCTGTCCTGTGCATCTGACCAAACCCTTCATGTTCTGTAGAATAAATCACTACCTGTCCTGGCTGCATAGCTATAGTATAAACCCACTTGTTATGAGACTTGAGAACCACTTCAGCATTTTCTTCTGCTACAAAGCTCAGATTCCCATAAAAGGAAAAAAGGTCTTCCTGAAACATGAAACATGCCATGCCAGAAACAAAGTAGACAGACACAAACACACACATATTCAAACCAGGGCCAGTTTTCCCAGAAACCAATTAACCTACCAGTAAGTCTCTGGACTGTGGCAGGAAACTGGAATATCCAGACAAAACCCACGTGACATGGGGAGAACCTACAAACTCCACGCAGATAGCACCCCAGGAATTGAACCCAGAGCCCCAGCGCTGCAAGGCAGCAATGCTGACCACTGTGCCACCTACAAAATCACAGCATCAAACAGAAGACTAACAACGAAAGTCTTGCTTTGTCATTTCTGAGACTACGAGGGCAACATGAGTGTCATGGCTGCTCAAGTTAGATCCTCACCTGCTCGTCCTGCTTGTAGTCCTGCAGGGCAACACATTCGCATCTGTCATCTTCTAAATTGTAGCCAGTTGTGATCTAAAACACAAGAAAAAATGAAGATTCTGCATGTGTATTGTGCATAGATGTTTAAACAAATATGTATGTATTACTGGATGCAAAATAATCATCTTTTTTATTTGGCACAGTTTGTACAATAACATTTTTTAACACAGAGAGTCACTTTCTCCCGGTCAGGATCTCCTGGAGCCTGACCGTGGAGCCCTGGATGCGAGATGCCAGCCCGTCACAGGCCTGAGAGCGGGGCTACCCACAAGGCCACAGTGCCACAGTGCCACCCTTCACAGTCATAAGCTGCATGCTCCTAAGGTTACATGTACCGAGTGTCTCTAGAAAGTCAAAGCAGATCATCACAGAAACCTGTAAACCCCTACATAATGAAACACAACCATGCTACGCTGGATGTTTAACAGAAAGTAATCATTTCTCATAAACTGGCAGTCTTTGGGCCATATTAATTTTGCGTTATGACAATCTCAAGAGATGCAATACAAGCAATAAATGAACAAGAAACAATATCACTTCAGAAAACACAATGTATCATCTGGATATCTCAGATAATTAAAAGCCATAGCAGTACATATGAATTTTAGAATCAAGTTAACAAAAGACCTTGCAAATGACTAAAATTAAGAAAATTGAATAAACCAATGGATTTGCTTATGATTTCCATGGAGGGATATATACAAGTCTATTAAAAAAATAAACTTGGAAATATGGCTGAAGAAGCTACAACCAGTTTTATTAAACATTAAGCCTCCCTAAAACCTAGGGAATACCTTAGAAGCTGTTTCATTAAACTGTTTAATGACAAGCTTTTCCATTTTATTCCCTTAGTTTTAAAATAAAATTTTACTTTATAATATAACACATTTCTGTATGCATACTTAAGAAGCTTGTTGGAGGAAATATATTGCTCTGTTGCCTATTAGAAACCCAACACATATTATATTCAAATAAAACATTTAAAATCCACATTTAAAATTCTGTTGATGTTTTAAGCCGATAATATTTATTATACCAAATACAAATGCCGAACCTGAACTAAGGGCAATGAACCACTGGAGGGATGTTTAATTAAAAAAAGAACAGAATGAAACAGCACCATGTTTTTGTTTGATCTTTCTCATTTGTACTGCCTGCAAAGCAAATGTTGCTTTTGTAAGAAAGATGTCCTCCCAGCATACTGTACATTAATGGTCTTTCAAACACTTAAGATCTTTAAAAACCTTTTACAAACATCATTTAAGACATCCCAATAATGCAACACAAAGCAACCACTGCAATTAATAAGGGTTACTAATCACCCCAATCATCAGTGATTTTATCTTCGGTGTCAGATAGGCTTCTTCATAACGCCTTCCTGCTCAGCTCTGCACCTCCTCTCAGTCTCTTGCCTGGTTCTCAGTCCTGGTCCTGGAAGGCCACTGTGTTTGCAGGGTTTTGTTCCAACTGGGCCCTCAATCACCAGTGCTGACCGGTGCCTGTGACATATTTGCTTGCTGGTTTAATCTTTTATTTCTGCACTCAATCCTTTGTTTGAAAAATACACTTCTTAAAGTGGATTATTTCCTACTACAGCAGATACATTTTCATGCTATGTCTCTTCCACTTGCTTATTAAAAATGTGCTCCCTTATTTCTGATTACGGAGCTATTGATAGGCGATCAACTGATGACGATCACACACAGCTGGAATGACAGTGTATCAGACACCTCCCACAGCAAGTCAGCTTGAGTCCAGTTGGTTATTTTTCAGCTCACACACCTAAATGAGGGCAGTCCTGACATCAGCACAGGGTTCATTCATGGCAATTACAAACCTCAACCAGTTCTTAAGGAGCTGAAAATACATTTTAAAAAATAGCATGCGATTAAGATCTCAGCTGGAGCAAAACCCACCCAGACCAGGAATGAGAACCACTGGACCAAAGGAAATCGCACAACCAATACAGCAACACAGTCTCTGACCAGTAGGTGTCACTGTGCTCTGAAGGGCAATGTGCTGTGGCTGAGAAGAGAAACGAGCGAGCTCAGTACCCTGTGAAGCGAAATACAGGCATTCCCCTTTAGAATGCCGCCCTGCAGGCTGCACAGCTGTTTCTACTGCCTGCGTATCACGTCTTAGGGCCTGCGCTGAATCTGGTGTACTATGGAACAAAGACCGTACCACCAAAAGAGCTGAAATTAGAAACCAGTTCATGCAAAAACAAAACCAGCCGCATCAATAATGTGCAAGAGCCAGGAGCCCCCAACACTGCAAGGGACAGTGCGGTTCCGGACCCTTCGGACGAGGCGGTCGGGACGCGACGAGCAGCCCTTACGAGCCCGTTGGTGTGGTTGCACATGTCCCAGAGCGGGATGAGGGCCAGGGTCACGTGGCTGCCGTCCTCTGTGGGGATCTGGTTTTGACGAGTCATGACTGAGGAGACCGCCCATCTATGACACAGCAAGAAAACACCGCTAGCCCAGCGCAAACTTGAGTCATCGACCAATGGAAAAAAAGGTTCTGTTTCAATCATTCTCAATCACTTTTCTTAGAAACAGACCCAGTTCCAGTTTTACTTCATGCCACGTGTGATGGATGCATATGCTTCATATTTTTGCAAATGATCCTAAGTTACAACTGGCCGTTTTAATATAAAAAAATGTAAAAAAAGCAAAAGTAACAGTGGAATAGGTTAATCACAGGATAATCACTCAAAGCACACACCATGGCTTCGAAAGAAATGCAAAAGTCAAACTGGCCTGCTGCTGTTAATAGCAGGATAAACAGTTTGCAATTTTAAAGGCTGTTTTAATTGAGCACGATTTCAGCATCACCAACCTGTAGTCATCGTAGGTGAAGGAATCCTTCAAGGGCAGTTTGCTGGCATTTGGATGGGTCTGGGGATTGAAGGTGAAAAGAAAAGAAAGAGGAAAGGTAAAAAAAGAAAAACACAAATCAGTCACTAGAATTTCATTATCTAGCTGCCTAACAGATCCTAACAAGAGCCTAGTGAAGCAGGCAGAGTCCAGCAGCGCTACAGAGGGATCATCATGGCATTATGCTCCCATACATCACTGTCAACTTAATTTGTTGTGCCCAGCAGCCGTCATAAATCTGCTTCATCAATTTGTGAGACAGAAACCCACCAGTGCCACAGAAATCTACATTTAAAGATACAGTAGCCCTTCTCCAAGGGCTCATTTAAACTGCATGTCAAAAAAAAAACCTCAAACGAAAAAATCAAGTTTTATTACGATGTTTTGCAATGTACCTTTTGGCGTATGTGAAATTGTCATTAGAAACACTATAACAAACCTATATTTTATCAATATTTAAAATTTTTACTTGTATGTTGAGCAATCTTGTGTATGGGTGCCAACTACAATACACTGTACAAAATGATTCTTCACCTCACTGTCAGTCTCCTGTAACATCACTGCAGTTTTATTACAGACCGCAGGGATCTAAAGTTCCCTTAGTATTTTGGCCTGGGTTTCTTAAAGCAGGACTGTTTTTATTGAAAAAAACCTCAACAAGGATATTTTAAAATGCTCAACATTTAAATTAATTTGTTATTTATAAAAGCATGGGACAGACCGATATATAGTCTATATGCTCTATTCCACATTAAGGGTTTGTGCCACGTTCATTATAATGTACAATAACAGTAGTGGCTTTCAGAAAGGCTCTAGATAGCTAAAATACTAAATTAAAAGATCTTGGGGATTTTAAGATGTTATTCTGTTTTCATTTGCATCAGAAATCAATGCAGCTATTGAAAACGCATTCAACAGCGGGCACAAAAGTCAACGTCAATGAGCTGAGATTTTTCTTCTGCTGCAGCTAACAGGTCAGAACTGATTTTTCCTCAACAGACAAACACACACAGATGTCCTGTATGCCATGCTGGGACAGAGACAGCCATTCCCAGGATCCCATGCAGCAAAGGGAATCTCTCTCCCCCGGACTTCAGGATGAGTGCAGGATCTCAGTCTCCCAATTACACATCTCATATTGTTCAGTTTGACTGCGACTCCTCTTATACCACAGATTAACACAAGGTCAGCCTGTACAGATAAAGGTCAACGTGGTTTTCCTAAACTGAGGCAAATAACAGTTTGAGACTGGTCTCCAGCAACAGTTAGGGAGGGGGACAGGGGGAATGTGACTTCAAAGCAGCCTTAAATAATACAGTAATACAGTATACTTTGATTGACAACCATTAAAAGATAAGGTGCTAGACAGCTAGCGAGTCAGATTCTGTGGTCCCATAATTCCCAGTCTTGGATGATGCACTATAAGGCTTGTGTGGGGGAGGCAGACGAATTAAAGTGTTGTCAGTAGCACTAAACTAAGCAAAATTATGTAACGGTGGGCAACAGGAAAAAAAAAGGCACAGGAATCCTTTAAAGGAGACTTCAAGATTCTTTGAGAATATTCAGATATGCATTTTAAGAGTTTCAACGGTTTTGTTATGGTGGCAAGGATGTGCAGTTTCCTCCTATTTTGCACGCCTGAGTTCTCATGTAATCCTAGATTCCTGGCAGTTGTGTTCTGAGGTTGAGTTTTGCCTAACACACTTCCGGCTTTAAGAGGGAAAAATGAAGGGTCATTATAGGGTGGGTGTGCAAAAGCCAATCATTGGGACAAAAGCCAAAATGTCTGGAGTTATCGGAGTACGACAACAAGCAGCACCCCCACATTGTGTCAGGTACAGGAAACCAATTGCTTAAAAACATTAATGACGTTAACAACAGCAATGGCAGAAAAAAGAACTGCTTCGCAAACACTTCTTCCTCTGTACTATGCTGGAGGCACAGTGCTTCAGAAGTACCTATAAGTTTAGATTAAGAAAAACGATTAAAAAGGTGAGGAATAAAGCCTTCAGAGTGAACTGTCCGTCAGAAGACTGGAGGACAGCAGCGCAGCCCCCCACAAACACGCCCTCCTCGTTCGGCCGTTGCTGGTGCTCTGTGTAGCGTGCAGCTTCCTCTCTTGATGCATTAGCATCACAAGTGGAAGGTAATTTATCATTTTTCACAGTGGAATATGTGTTGGCACCATGTGTGGGACAGTAGGGGATGAGGTACAGGGGACTAGAACCGTAAATCAATTAGAAAACAAAAGCTCACACGCAGTGAGGAATTTCAGGCAAATTATATATCATAAAAGACTGCTAATTGGCTAGTCGCTCTCGGGGACTATTGCTTCATTAAAAGCCGTTTCAATTTTTGTGTTGCTGCATTTTGTTCTCACTGCTGTGTTTGCTGTCCAATTGTTTAACATTTAAAAAACATAAAGATGAATTCAGTCATCAATGTAAATTGATATTAAATTAGAGCAGATGAAAGATCCTTTACATGGACTGAAAATTGTTTAAAAGTTTGATTCTTTTTGTTAGGCAGTTAAAAAAACACATCAAACTCATTCTGCGCAGAGAGTCAGCTTACAAGGTTTTTTTTTTTTTTTTGAGGGAATTGCTCCATTACTGCAAAAACGTTTCCTTCCACAAATAAAAAGCAGTCAGTGCAGGACTAGGGAAAAACAAACAGTTACCCAAAAAGAACTACACAATCACATCCCCACAAGGATCTAGCAGTGTCTGCAAAGGGGCTCTTTCCTTTCCTCGAGCCAGCTCACTCTTGCCATCATGCGCCATGGATGAATTTTAAACACATACTACTATGGATTTGTCAGATCCCACTCAACATACATGGTAGGTACAATCAGGTCAATTCAATTCAAAGCCAATGCGACAAGCTAATTTTCCAGCCCGGTCATCTGCAGCAGCAGCAGCAGGAACACAGACACTGACAGCAGTCATTACAGAGACACGGACCTTCCAGTCGCAGACCCACTCTGACCAGCACTGAACAACCAGTTCAATGTATTGGCACTAATATACCTACTCTACTAATAGCTAAAAACATTAAATAAACCCAATATTGTAACGTGACGTAAGTAACGCAAAACATCTGTAATTAAATTTCTATTTTAATTTAAAAAAAACACCTGATGTCTTCTAGCTCAGTCCTGTCACCTACTGGTCTTTATGTAAATGTGACTCTATAATGAATCTTCGTACAAGGGACCAATATTAATTTACTAGATTAATAATAATCTTCCTAGAACTGCAATGTTTTTCATTTCATAGAAAAGGGAATGCAGAACATTCCATGGGCTATATAAAGTTGAACTGGGTCTAAATCCTCCGCCTGTAAAAGTGTTCATGGAACAAGACTCTGCCAGGTCTCCACTGGAGGGAAGCAGGAAAGTGCTGCACATTGCAGGCTCATCCTGACATCCTCATACTAAGCCCTCTGCTTCTTTGGGGCCTCAAGACTTGAGTGAGGAAATTAAACATTCTCCGGATTTTCTTTTTTAAAATGACAGTGCCTTCAAATTAAAAAAATTATATCCTTTGATTAAAAAAAAGAAAGTAGAAAAAATCAATATGGCACATTCGCATTTCTGAAACACCTATAGCTGAAAACTAACAAACATTTAATAAAAAATATGTCAATATATCTACAGAGAAAATGACAAATACATTAACTATTAAATATCATGGAATAATTCCACTATTTCTATAAATATTTGATGTCTTATCTTGACAGTAATGTGAAATGTTCATATTTCTAATTGACAGTTATTTAATGAAAGAACAAAACAGCGTCAGCAAAGATTTTTAAAAATAATTTATAAAAACAAAGATTTTTTCCCCGTCGACTTGCAGACCAATGAAGCTTAACACAAAAAGACTGAGCATCAGAACTCAGTGGCAAAGGAATTACTGTACTATTAATCAGGCCGGTAAAGAAAACAAGCAAGCCTGGATGCTGGAAAGAAAATAAAGGACATTTTACAAAACATTTACATTTAGCACTCTCACACCAGTCTTCAGATGGAGACAGCATGGTTACTGTATCATAACTTTATTCAGATTCAACCCCTGAACGGTCCAAAGAATGTTCACATCTTCTTGCACAGAGGACAGCATTAAATCTCATCACCTAAATCGAACAAAAACCTGTTCCACCTCACGAGCTGGAGGAGTTCTTCACATCGCTTTCTCCAGTTAAGAGGAAGAGAATACCCACAAACTAGAAGGAAACTAATGTGTCAGACATTTAGTTTTGGTCTTGTACGGTCTGCAACGAACATACTTCCCCTGCTTTTCCACCGTGCGAGAACAAAATCTGTAGTACAATGGCAGTGGAACGACCCTGACAAGAGCACTGCAGTGCACAACAGAACAGTCCCAAGCCCCCGACACGGGCAGGGTTTCTGCTTTCATCAGGCAGAGCCAGGCCAGGCGGGAGAGGAGGGGAATGGATTCCTTATCTTTGGGAGCCTCAGTATGAGGAGATGGCAGCTCCTTGCTGTGTCCACAAACGGGCGATCAATCACATTCTGCATTAGAATGTCAGCGGCAAAAAAATGACCATGTCACCAGTATCTTTATGAACTATTATGTCAGAACAGAAATCACATAAAACTTCCCGGGAAAGCTAAGGCCAGCAATGATCAAATGCTGGCTGGAGGTTATGTACGGACATGCATCAGAGTGAGAGATACTCTTAAAGGCTGCAGAGGAAGTGAATGACCAGTGAGCAAATGGATCATTCTTGTGTGCAACCCCACAGTACAACCCCTCTGTGCAAATAAGCAGTATCCTGAAGTGCACTGAATAGCCCAGGTCTTCTTCCCCAGAGTGCAGTTTGAAAAAAGACATGACAACACCAACTGACAGAGGGCCAGCATCCAAACACAACCCTTCGCTGCTCCAGTGGCTACATTACAGGTGCTCTTAATGACAGCTCAGGTGCAGGTCATATCCACATAGAAGTCTGAGAAAATTTACACATCGCACTATGCAGAGAGAACAGTAGCATCTAGACGAGTATGATCTGAAGGCCGGAACAGATCAGGGTTGGATTAGCATACGGACAGAAGCAATGCTTACTAGTTCCAAAAGACAAAGACACCTGACCAGACCTATACAATTCCCTGGACGTTTTAAATACATTTAAATGTACATAATATACAAGAGACGCAACGTTTCGGCTGTGGAGCCTTCTTCACCCATCACTCCTGAATAAGGTTCCACAGCCAAAATGTTGTGTCTTTTTTCTTTTCCTTTCAACATGGAATAAATCTTTCCCTTGCAGCCTATGCATGCTGACACAGCTGCCTACTTGTACTGTATATAATGCACTATATGTACACATGTGCATTTACATATATACCAAATCTTATTTATGCTGAAGAACCAAGTTTCCTTCAATAACGAGAGCTAATTTGTTCTGTTAATTTTTCACCTTAGAGTACATCTTGATCAGAAAAGTGTTTCTAATGCAGGTGAAGCAACCCAGGATATTATCAGAAGAGGTGAAAACAAAAAGCTCAAATTCCAACAAGTTAGAAGTATATCCATGAGATCATCAGATGACAATTGTACAAGAGACAAAACTGCTGTAACACACAAAGTAGAGACCCTTCTGACTTGGATATTGAAATTATCTCATATCTGAGAGCTACCATCTGTTTATGCTGCATAAATGGTATAAGCAGCTATATTAAGATACAGCCAAATAATTAATGTTTAAGGAATTAAATTCTACCCTTGACCTGAGAGCAGTATATAATTGAGAATTAGCAATAAAAACCAAGTATAATAGTTAATAGTCTCTAGGATGTTTCAGCAGGTGCGGTACCCAGAAAAAAAAATACTTGAATGCATTTACAGGTCAACATTTTATAGCCAAGACTATCTGGATAAAATATTTAGCACTAAACCCTTTAGGCCTAGATTGTGAAGAGCACAAAGGCAGCACTGTATTTGAAGTTGCATGTCTCCCCCTTGTGGCAAAGACACACTGTGACAGATTCAAGCAGTGTCATTGCTAGCTTATCAGATGCAAGGAAATTGAGTGCAAAAGGCCATCATAAACCAGCAGTTACCTGGCTTAAATGTGCTGCTGCGTGCTGAAAACCTTTTTAAAACCTTATTTCTTAAAGTAGCCACAAAACGTACGAGTATCTGTACAAATACAGCAGTGGAAATTCATTAAACCGCTGGCTAAAGAACTCAAAACTCATGTCCCTGATTTGCCTGGACAATGGACCTCAATAAAAAATTGAGATTATGGCTCAGGCTTCTGCTGAACCACAGCCCCTGCAGGATGATGTAGTTAGACACGATACATTTAGTAATGGGAACTCATTCAGCACTACAAAACGTAAGTCATGATAAATGTTGTATCATTCCTTTCTGCTACGTTTTAGCGAACATTTTAATATGTTCACAAAAAAGAATAATTCAAAACATGTACTGTAGACCTGTCCCTAACCAATGAAACCCAGCTATTTTGCCAAGTACTAAATATACATCGTTCGTGCTGAACATGCAAAAAGAGCTAAGCATAGCTGGCAGAAATTTTATTTACAGTTTAGAGGCTCCACAAAATGAAACTTACTACCAATTGAGCCCAAAGAGAAATATTTCTGCTCTATTACTTTCCTATGAGACCAATTAGCATTTTCCGCAATTTTTCAACATGAAAATACTGTCAGGACAGGAGTTGGGAGGGATCTGAAAAAACACCTTTCATGACAACCGAAACAGGGTCCCTGCAGAACCAAAGATCAGGGCCTCTGGCCTTATAACAGTATATACACATGCAATAATAACCACTTATTGTTTAGCCTGCCTATCTGTGCCCCATATAGCATGTATACTTATTCATCATTATACTTTCTGCCCAGTGACTCAGCGGTGGCTCTGTGGCTAAGGATCTGCGCCTGTGACTGGAAGGTTGCCGGTTCAAATCCCGCGGCAGGCAGAGGAATCCTACTCCGAGCAAGGCCCTTAACCCTAACTGCTCCAGGGGCGCTGTCCAATGGCAGACCCTGCGCTCTGACCCCCAGCTTCTCTCCCTGTCTGTGTCTCCATGGACAAAAGCTTGGATATGTGAAAAGACAAATTCCTAATGCAAGAAATTGTATAGGGCTAATAAAGAAACATTATTATTATTATTATCAGGCTTACCTTACTGTTCAGGGAAATGAGCACACCTCACACAACTGCTCGGCTTCACACTTGCGACAGCGGAGACTTGACTGACCTGCTGGCTCTCTACACGTTTATTACCGACACCGATAACCCGAGCCAGAGTGAGCCTTCAGCACCTTGGCTACAATCAGAGATGGCAACACAGGACTAGGCCCGGCAGCGGAGCACACGGCCCCCCAGCCCCGACACCGGCGCGAGCCCGGCACTCACCTGGATGATCTTGTAGAAGTACGCATACTGGCGCGCGGTGTTTTTGTACTGGCTGAATACGTCGTGGATCGCTTGGGTGGACTGGAGGTAGTGGACCTCGTCCTCCTCGAAGTACAGGGGGATGTCGTACTCGCTGGGCAGGGTCCTGATGTAGGGCAGCCAGAAGGAGGCGGGGTTTGCACGCTCACACAGCAGGTGGAAGGCCAGGGTCACGTTGCCCATCGCTTGCAGGATCCGGTCCTGGCTGTACAGGGGGCCTGGAGAAATCGCAGGAGGAGGGGTCGGTCGCATGGGTTCACCGGTTCGGTTCTGAAAGGGTTTGCTGCTGCCTCCCGAAAGGAGGATAACATAGCACAAGAACCGAACGAAAAAACAACAGGCAACCGACATTTATTTCTGCTCTATTTGAGTAGTCTTAAAAGAGTGGATTTTGCAATCACAGTAAAGGAGGGGAGGTTTATTTGGTGTAGACCTCTCATTAAGCCTTCTTTCATTCTTCAGCTGTATCTTGGATTCTCAGATTCCACTGACATTTTTCACACTTGTCATCTAAACAATATCTGCAATCGTCGTGGCAACAGGTACACTGGCAGGCACCTGCGCTGTGTTCCTCACCTGAGCTAGTCCCTCACACCTGTAGTGTCTCTCAATCTGTTACAATGCTGAAAAAAATCAATAACCCTGTGATCAATAAACAGCTGCACAATACCTACAATGGTCTTAAAAACAAAATGCTGGAAAAGATGCAGAATCCCTTAAACCAAGAGGCAAATTGGAAAAGGAGATAAAAACCTTGATAAATGACGTTCTTTGCCATTTCAAAAAAGAGGTAATGCATGCCTTTTATTAGCATTAAACAAGTAACATCATCCTGTCTTACAGCTAAAAGTTTAAATTTAAAGGTTCTGCCAGTACTGAATATTCTCTTGAGGTGCATTAAATGTTTTTAGATTTAAGAAAACTGAGTAGTGATTACATTATGAATCCAGTGAAGCAGCCACACAAAGTGTGAACATTGTTTCTTTGGGAACACCACTTGCGCATGATTATTAAACACACCAAATCATTACTGCCAGAAATGAGCCATAACTAAATACTCACCTAACACAGAATTTTTAGCTGATTCTACTGTCATCAGCATCTTACGAGGAATCCACAGAAACATTTCCTCTGCCTGTAGGACGTGAGAAAAGACAGCTTTCTTAACAAGACGCACTTCAGTTTGACAGCACTTTTCATATATTTTTCACATATTTTGCACATAAACAACTTAAAAATACTCCAAAAACATGCTGACAGACTGTTGCTGTATCAGCAATGACAGCTAAGAGCAATGACAAAGGTCTGAACGTGTCAGGTGTTCCAGTGGGGAGCTGTGCCAGTGAGTGTCGTCCACAAAGGAACTAGAAAAGTTCACACTGAAGGGGAGAAAGATACCCAGCATTGCCGCTGTCGAGCCTTATAGGGTACTGTACTTTTAAGGTACTGTATAATGTACAGCCACACGCACACGAGGAGTTAGCCAACTTCATTTGAAAAGTAAACAATAACGTTCCGAGTCTCTTTTGTACGACAGAAGATATCTCAACATCTAGCTACACCAAACAGGGCTCCCAAGAGGTGGGAACAAACCCTCTCTGTCCAGGGCCCTCAGATGAACCCGCCCTTTCATTAGGAGGACTTGCCTTCCACTCATTCACAGAGTGAGTGGCACCACGGCCACACTAACCCATGAGTACCGTCTTATTCTACCATTCAGTCACGCTGCATCTTCTCCATCCTGGAAAACAAGGGGCTATCTGAAAAAAAAACGGGCATGAGACTCCCCACGAAGCGAGAGAAAGAATACAAACCTTAATATCCCTCGTCGCTTTCAAACCATAGCCTTCTTCTGCGAAATTGGAGATTTCAAAGCCTTCACACGAGGCTCCGTTTTCTGCTGCCCACGACATGAGCTCTGGGAAAAAGTCGTCCCTTGTCCCATCAAACACCACCGATAAACCTGGACCCGTGAGAAACCAGGATCAAGTCATTTTAAAAAAAGACAAGTGACCTGCTGCTGCTATTATTATTATTGCTGCTATGTTATTATTATGCACTAAATAATGGACAGATACTCAAAGCATCAGAGGGCAGAAAGGGGGGGTGATGTGTATTGGGAAAGAGAGCAGGAATGCTCCAGAGAAACCCCTTCTAAAATCTCCATTGGAAAACAAAAAAAATCATAATTGGTCCAAATTCATATTCACCAGGATATCTCCACTTTCACCACACATTTATTTACAGTGAACTCACTGACGAGGACAAGTCTAACGCTTGGTCACAAAGTCACAGGAAAACATAAAATGAGGTTCTGCAATAAATCAGCTCCTGGGGAAAACCTGAACTCCTTTCACTAGAAGAGCTAATAGCATGGGGAATCTCTGGAGGAAGTGCTCAAGAGGAAGCTTGTTCAGAAAGACACTGCTCCCTGCTGAAGGGGGAGATACCTTTCTGCTTTTTGCGGATTTTCTCTACCAGCGATCGGATCTGAATGTACTCTTCCCATTCCTTTCCCGGAGCTGGGGCCGGGCCGCTGCACTCTACGAACAAAGCAGGATACATAAAATCAGGGAGATTGGTTTGTAATGAATTTTCCTTACGGAACTACTCAAATTGCATGGGAAAACAATCTTTGAAAAACCACGGAAAAGTGAATAAAAAAAAAGTTTCTTCTGCAAATAGCATTTTAAAATTTACTCAGTTCTTACAAAATATCATGTGGAATAGTAAAGACAATAATAACGTCCAAAGAAAGCAGTCTGTCTGCACTGCATAGTCTATTTCATGTAAGAGCTGGGGCTTTTCTTGACCATGTGACCTTCAGGACTCCTGCCCTGTAGTTCAGCCAATATCCTCTAGGTGTCCCTGTAGGTACGCTAACCTCAGCAACTTTAGAATAACAATTTCAGTTCTTACAGCAGATACTGTACATATATTTGCACTTCGGAAATACCTTATAGGTGGCACAGGGCATAGTGTAGTATTTGAATACACTGAAAATACATTTTAAAAGCATGACTGGATTTGTCTCAGACAATGCCAGTTACATGATCAAGGCATTCTTTGAAGACCGTTGCCAAATTTAGGACATCTGACATGTAATGTTTAAATGCTTTCTGTTTTCTTGATAGCAGACAAGGTTGCTACAACAGTGAAAAGTTGTATATTCTGTCCAAGAAGGAAAACGTTTAAAGAACAGATTTGAGCTATTATTTGATAGATTTTAGCTATTACTATCAATTATATGCCTCCTATTTCGTGCACAACAAAATGGGGCACTTGATATTCTGCTGTAAAATATTAGTTGAAGTACATTCATTTTTACCCAGACTTTGTGGGAATTGAAACTGATGTTTCACTAAATACTCTGGTATTAAAGAAGCTGAAAACACTGCTGACAAGATGTAAGAGGCTTGGAAATGTGGCTCTCTCCATCTGTGATGCATGGCAAGACTGGTCAACCTAACAGTATTAACAATTGAATCCTGAGCTTTGGCACAGCAGATGCAAATAAAGAGCTAAGAAACAGAACGGTTAAAACCTTCAGTGAAGTTTCTGCATGTTTCAAACTGGAAAAACTTAAAAAAGGTGCATGGTGTTGTGGTAGTAATGCTGCCTCTTGGCGCTGCTAAAGTTGTAGCATTTAAATAACTGAGATGATTAAGGTAGCACAACATCATGATTGTTTAATAAGTGGCTTTAGGAAATGTTATGTCAACCTCTAGGTGTTGGAGGACTGAAATAAGTTTAAAAAAAAAAAAACATGTCCTAAGATAGAACATCCTCACTGAGATACAGGAAACCCACAGGGATTTTATGCACCTGCACCAATTATCACCTTAACAAAAACAGGTCTTACTTTGCAACAGATCCGAAACTAAATTCATCATCTCCTTGGGGGAGATCACTGAGGCAGCCCCAGTGCCTGATTTCTGGGTCTTCACTCTGCTCTTCTTCCCCATCCTCAGACTGGAGAAAGATCAGGAGGATGCTTCACTGCACAACAGGGGACAAAGGGACAGCAGAATATTCCTTGATGGACTTTTATGTATCAACAAACATATTTAAAGTCAAAAGATCCAAGCCACAGCCATGCAAAAGCTTTTCTGAAACCATGATGATTTCTAATTATGATTTCTAATTATCACAGCTTGTGATTCCTAAATCTTCCCATACATCCTAAAATACTGTCCTTGTTAATTTAAGCAGCCTATTGGAAGATATTAAAATTTAAAGCTGTTCGACAAAAGCCTTACCCACATCTTTTCACTAGGTGGCACGCTTTACGCACCTAACAGCTCGATAACAAAAAGAAAAGTATTTTACAGTTGCTAAATTAAAAAGGCTGCACTCCTAAAATAATCTTCAGAAACTCAGCAGCAGTGACAATCACCAGCTTATATCTGATGGCCCCTCTCTTGTTCGTTATTCTACTACTGCACGTGTGTGCCGGAGCTGGGCATGGAGCTCAGAACCACAAGTGGCATCTCCTCCGCCAGCACCGACACAGCTCCACCGGGGGGGGGGGTACAGCACACTTTCATGCTTCGCCTTTCATCTTTCATATGAAAGACGAGACCCCAAAATAAAATGCCTGGGCGAAAGCAAAAACAAAGGGCATGATCTAGGAGCTGAAGAGTGACGCCACTCCTGACGGTGGAGGTCCACTCGAGACTGCGGACAGAGACGGCTGCGTGATGCGCCGCATCAGACTCTTCACAGCCCTCTTCGCTTTCAAACCGTTTGAATCTGAACAGGCTCGTAATGATATTCTGAATGCTGTGCGTTCAAGACCTGGACTGGCTGTTTTCATTATGCAGAAGACTAAATGGCATCTCCATGGAAACAGTGCTGTGTGGTGTGTTAATGTGAAGCACTATTTCAAAAGACTGGCTTTGAGGTACATTACATTAGGATAAAAGCACTCAATACCTTATTTTTAGGCAGACTGTGTTTCATCTTGATGATTGCACTGAAAAAGTTGACTATTTAATCACATGGTCCTTAATGGAATTATTAATAAGTGTATTACTTCTTAATACATCTTGCTAAGTTTCGCAAAACTATTTGTAATACAAATACACCATCAGTCTGTTCTAATTTAGAAACGCTTAGTCACTTTTCCATGATGAAACAAAGTATTGCACACAAAAAAATTCCAATTTCATAACACACTCAGTTTTAGTACTATACGGACATTATCTTGCAGTACAACTAGATTTGGAGTGAAAAATGTTTTCTGTGGAACCCAGAGGCCTCCCAGTTCCACTGAGGAAAACCACTGATATAAAACACAAGAACATTAATAACAGACACTTCACACAAACCACATCAAGGAGATCCTGTGAGGATCAGACCTCAGGATATTCCAATAAAGCAGCTTTCAAGTCCTGACACTCTCCTCAAATAAAACCTGCAAAGAAAAATAGTGCAGAATGCATGAAGGCCTGCCTTTGTGCAGCAGAGCTACACAGCAAAAGCATCATCCCACATCATGTGCAACTGCACACTCACAACTTTATTCCTGCTGGGTTGACACTGTACTTCACTTCATGCCGTATTAAGCAGACGTGCAGCTTCCAAACATCAGGAAAATCACTTTTTTACTGCAAATCACGCAACTGACACATACAGCAACATAAAGAGAATCCTCACCAAATGAGAACTGGCACTGCTCTGTACGCCTGTTTACCCCAAGAAGCATGTGCATAAGAATATTTCCTGAGAGACAAGAGTGCCATTCTTTCAAGGTGCTTGTTCACAAAAAGAAAATGCTGTGCCTTGGCAAAAAAAATAAGTTCATGGGTGAAATGATCAAACCGTCAGTGTATGGCAACACACAAAAACCCACTGGGTGATGCCAGTTCCCCCTCACTCATCCAGCACTCTGAACTGCCCTATAAAAACTGGGAAAAACCTTATCTATTCTAGAAGGAGCAGTGTTGCTGAACGCAGCGGTTGCCAGCTGGACAAAGAAATGACAAGTCAGTCTGTCAATCAGTTTAGTTTACTCTATTCCATAAAACACTCATGAAACACTGATACTTTTTCTTCGGTTACAATGGAATAACTGGTAACGGAAAATGGCTCAGGGTCCACCCCCAGGATACTGCCAAATAGAGCACTAAAGTTTTCAAAATAACTGCCAGGCACTTCCACACAGCTGCACAGCTTTGCTTTCAAAATTCCTGGCCACCAGCGAGACACATGGTTCACTTCCCTTGTCACTTTTACGAGACCAAGCCAAGACTCAGTCAAAAGACTCAACGACTGAAACCAAGTGCTGCACATGTGACAGAAGGAAATCACTGGAAATAACTCAGACTTTTCTCTTTGAAGTCAGACCAGAACACTGCTGAGTAAAAATATAAATCAGTCCTTATTTGGGGTAACCGAAGCAATTCTCTAATGTAGGGAGAACACAAAATCAACAATTACATTTTCAAGATGGGCAGTTGGCCATTGTTTGAATTGTTAGGAATCTGGTTGCAACTCCAGTTTCCAAACTGCTGCAGAACATTTTATATTTACCCTCCATTTCTCACACCTTTTAAAGAGAATTGCTTCTCTATACAGTATTTACTACTCAACACTTTTATTCATTTTAAACTCCAGAAAAATAAGAGGAAAGGCAGATTCCCCCCGACGTTTAGCTTTCCTGAAGGAAAAGGACCTTTTACATCAGCACCGAACAGTAAGAGTGTCTGAGCGCACAGACTGAGCACTGTGTAGATCCAGGCACCTTTAGAAAGACCCACACTGATGTGACACCCGAACTGCCTTCCATCTCCTGTTATCAAGATTAAAAAGATCAACGTTGAAAAAGAGGTCAATCTGTAAATAGAGTGATTTGACAAGACAAGAAGGATGTTTACAACTGAAGAAATGGCGCATCCTGTCTTGTTTATTTGGGTCGACTTCCTGAGACATCCAATGGAATTGCACAGGCTGGGTAGTTTGCAGAACACACCCACTACTCTTTGTGCAGACGCCCTGAAGCAGAGCTTCTAGAGAGACAATCCTTACAAAGACCCCAAGCTATCATTCAGAGCTGCTTCTTTGCGGAGATGAGGGATCAAATCTGCCCACGGCCTACGGAGAACATTTTCAGCCGACTTACCTTTCATGAGGAACGGAACCGCAGATGGACCTGTATGATTGTCCCCATTGGGCCAGTTTTGCTTGTTATTAAGAAGCCCAGTCAATATTAAAGCCGACCAATCAGGCGCTTTGGATCGAATGTGCAGCTGCATGACCTAAATGAAGCGACTTGCACAAGTCAGAAATTAGAAACCCTTTCGCCCATGCAGGCTTCCTAACTGCACTTAGCTCTTCTGTAGGACGGGAGCAATATCTAAGATTTTAATCATGAACAAAAACAGTTCCCACCAGTAATGGTAAACACCATGGTGATGTTTAATAAAGATATGATATATCATGCCAAAAATCCCTTTTGCCTCCTGTCACAAAAGTACAGCACTGAATAGCTATAGTAACAACCACCATTCTCTTCTTAAATGGAATGAAATTAAAACGAATTTCGAAAAATAAACCCATGTAAGGTATTTGGCATGCTTCGGACAAAGTCTGGCACAACACTGTGAAGCCATTTGAAACTTTGGTGTATCGCACAGTGCTGTACTGCAGCACAGCGCCTTCTCTTCCACAGCAGACAGCAGATGCTCTTCGGCCTTTCTGAACTCTCTCCTGGTAGGAAAACCTAAGGGAAGTCGCCGAGGCATTCATTACAACCAAGGGATAAACTTTGAGGAGGAAAAGTAAATCTGGACGGTGGAAATCGGCATCTGCCCCGCGTTACTCAACACAGTAAAACAGCGTGTGTTCCCGACGTAAACTAGAACCAAACCCACGAACCGCCCATGAGTGTGTGATTTTTTAGCATTATTGTATAACATTACCTCCAAATTAACTGCTGCAGGTCCTGTCAGCTTGGAGTTCAGTCCTCACCCAGTTGCTCTGAGAGTGCAACCTAACCGCCCTGCAACCAGATTAAACCACGCCTGCACCACTGTTCCTCTTTGCGATTGAATAAAGAACACTTCCTGCATACATTCTCAAGGGTTTTGATTGGATAAACGCTGAAATACGTCCCCTAGTGTTTCCTCTTTCATTGGGTTAATATGTATGTCACTCAAAACTAGGCTACGTAGTCTCACCCCCCCAGTTTTGATTGGTTGCGGAAGCGACAACGTGTTCTATTCTTTTATTTGATTGGTCACTTATTACATGGCGGCTCTTAAGTTTGACTGCACAACACAGCTCATCAAAGCCCGCCTCCTGACTCCACCTATTGGCTGTTTACTTTGGCATTGAATGAATTACCTTACATGGAAAGGGCTTCCATTTACTAATTGGTCAGCACGGATGTCAATCAGAGCGGGGGACCCAAAAAAAACATCCCTCCTCCGTGCTCGCCATACGGAGGGCCTGTCGTAACCGTGTTCGTCTCAAAAATGGCGGCGCCCACTGTACGGGAGGGAGTTTTGTTGTGGGATTAAACCGACACAGAAGACGTCCGTGGTCTTCTCCCCTGGAATAAAGACTGCTGCCGTCGTCTTGCAGCTGCGTCAGGTGTGTACGGCGGTGTTTCAGTCCCCGCTGGGGGCAGCTAGGCTGAAGCGAGAGGCGCTGACCGGTCGGTGGTGTGGGAAGCAGTCCCTTCGCCTGGCCGCGCGTTGCGCTAACGAGTTAACCGAGTTAAAAACCCGGAGCTGTGCACACACAGCCCACAACGCTTTCCTCAACGACGCCCGTGTCTACTCACTCGGGGTACCCCTGTGAAACGGTCTGGCGCTCGGCGCCTCTGCACCCCGGGCGGAGCAGTGCGGGGAAGTGGGGTGCAGGCGAGGGGCTCGGGGTGTGCTGCGCTGTCCGGTTTTCAGTTTCACTTTGTGACTGCTTCTGGAAACCTGGAGAGCTCCGATCGGCTTTCTGTGTTTAGTTGCGCGCTGTTTTCCTCGAGGGTCACGGACTGTCGTAAGCAATTCTCTCATCTCTACTCATGCAGCGTCGTTACACAGGAGACGGGTTTTTTTTTTTTAATGGAATCTGTAAACAGCGGCTTAAAGGAAGAAATGCACCCCTCGTGTATTTGTTTACGCCCTGTTTATTGTAACTGCTGCAGAGTATAGAGGTACAGCATTAATGTAACGATATTGAGAAATAAATGCACATATAAACCTCTTATAGCTTTTTGAGGTTGATTTGTCATTCATCTTGTATTATTAATCCTGCTTGCATTTTGGCTTTCGCCTTTTACATTATTGTGGCGCTGTAATAACTGTTAGCCGGCGTTAAAATGTCTTGACTGGATAGGAGCGTGGCCTCCGTACAGTCCCGCTAATACGCAGAATATTGTGTTCATATGAGAGATGCCATTTCTTTCAGAACTCGTTGGAAGTTGCTGAGGTTTGCGTTGTCCAGATGTTAGAGAAGTGGTACGCACTGCGACTCCCTCTAGTGTGTGCTGTTCCTCAGCTGTGTGGAGGGCCCAGTTACCTGCTGGCTTAAGGGGTCTGGTTCATTCATGAATCTCTTCCTGTTGCTTAAGCGGTCTAATTATGTTATTAACTGCATGAGTGGTGTATTATAAACCAGACTTTCAAGTGTTTGTTGGTAATCGTACCTCTAAAGACCTGTTTTTCAAAAGTCATCCTTTAGGATGACTGTGAAATGCCTAAATTAAAAATCCTATATATGGCACATTTATGCATATTAGTTTAGGTGTTAAATTGACTTTTCGTACCGGGGGAAAAACAACAGAAGACCCCAGGCCCCCCAGGACCCGCCTGCGAGACCCCTGAGTTACTGCAGTTGTGTGTTCCTATGGTTCACAGGGAGCGCTGGTGTGCCTTGCAGTTCGCAGTGCGTGGTGACCAGACCCCTGTCTGTCCTGTGTGTTACTGCTGCTCTTGTCTTTTGCCATCTCGGTGTTTTCGTCAGCTATTTGGATTTGACATATAATTCTGCCGCTGGTGCGGGTGTGTTTCATCAGGGCCGTCTTGAGGCCTTCCCACTGATGCTCCTCGTCTAGGTGAACCACACCTGTGCCCTCTGGGGTAGAAAGCGGAAAGGAGCCGAGTCAGGTTTTTGTTCACGCACGAGGTGCTCGAAGCGACACCTCGGAGAGGACCGTTCTTCCCCTCTGGGCCAGTCCAACAGGTCGGCCAGCGCATTGCTCGCTTGAAGCAGTGCTCGTGAAATCACGTGACGGGCGCTCTGTCCTACGGTACTGACGCAGGGTGCTGCTGGGGGGCGCCGAGTGGTCATGGTCTTGTCCAAACATGGCATGGCAAGCACAAGAAGCCGCGCAACGACACGGCCGCGGTGTGGGTCCTACGTCTTGTTGCAGCTGGTAGGGAAGAGTATCGCTGCCAACCAGATGAACAGTCACTGCTGTTAAAGTTTTGATAATGTGCACTTTATCCTCAGACCTAATATTAAGAAATTATGTTCCACCACAAAAGCCGATCATAAAATAACGTACAGTAAGACAGAACATACTGCCGGTTGCGATGGAACCGGCAGTATGTGATAGAGCACCGTGCTGGACATCGAACTCAAACGAAGTCTTGCTCATGAGTCCAGCTCTTTCATTACCCTTTACGTCCCTCTCCAGCACCTTGCAGACACAAAGCCTTACAGTTACTGACACAAAGCCTTTTACCTTTGTAAAACTTTTTAAACCTTGTAGCTTACTATAATTCATTATAGCTTATTATAGTAGCTTAATTGTAACAGCTCTGAAAACACAGGTGATAGTGTGGGCTCGCTGTGTCCTTTACTCTTCACTGTGTACATTTCTGGAATTTTTCATTGTATTAGTAAAAACATGGTCAAAATCCGTCTGTATTGAAACGTTGTTAAAAAGTATGAAAACGGACACTGTGTCCCTGTTGGGTGATGCCTCCCAGCACAGAAGCAAACAGTAATTCACCAGTTTTACTCTATTAGACATGGCCTTGCTACCTGTCTCACACATGTCCTGTAATGGAGGGCGAAGTGTTCTTTCCTTGGTTCCGGCACACGGTGCGCTGTCTGTGTGCCCAGTGCACACCACACCTCTGCTTCAGGTGCGGCGCCCGTGAAGAGCAACCCATGATGGCAGCACAGAATAAACCAAACTGCACTAAGTTCTTCAGTCAAGACCAGCCGAGGTCTGAGAAGATCTCAGTTTGGTTCGATTAATGCAAACACTGTCGGGAGTTCAGACAAACAAGTGAGAACATCCCCCTGGAGAAGGGAGGAACTGGCTGGCTTGTGTCTGAAGCTGAGCTTCTGTGTGGAGAAGAAGGTTATCCGTCTGTTGCTGACGGGTGTTCTCAGCCGAAAAGAGAAAAGGTGTTTCAGCAGTAGTTGTATTTTGTCCGTTATGCACCAGTCTGACATGATTTTATTTTACTTGCAGGGCTGCAGCACAGTGAGCTGTTTAAAAGGATCTGCCTTGTGAGTTATATTATTTTTAATAAATGAAGGAAAATAAGGAGAATTCAACTCCCGGTACGCCTGGTGCAAACCTGGACCACATCAAGCCATGCTGGTACTGGGACAAGAAGGACCTGGCGCACACCCCCTCCCAGTCTGAGGGGCTGGACCCAGCTACCGAGGCCCGGTACCGGCGAGAGGGAGCCCGGTTCATATTCGACGTGGGGACGCGCCTGGGGCTGTATCCTTTCCTCGGCTGCCTCGCGGGGCCGCCGGCTGCCCGTGTGTTTGTGCTGTTCTTGTGGAGTGTCAGGTTCCGACTCCACCCGCCGAGCCGGGCTGTTAACGGACTGGCAGTGCAGTGTGGCCTCCCTGAGGGAAGCAGTGTCTCGCTCCTGCGTGAGCTGTGTAGCGGAGCTGCCAGTGCAGCTTGACCGCAGCTCCTAGCTGGATCTGGAATTCCAGGGGCGAGTCAAGTGGGTTCCCTCTGATACGTGTCACATTTTGGGATATTATTGCTAGGACTTGCTAGCTTTTTGTCTTTTTTTTTAATTCAATTTTAATTTTTCCATAGTCACCAGTATGGAAAGAAACTCATAATCGGATACACAGCGTTATTTCGGTGTCTTGTTGTGTCTCCGGAGAGAGTACACAGCTTGTTGCCTGCGCTATGTTCTTCTCTTCTGCATCATGTTTTTCACTAGATGTCAGTTTATTGTTTAATTCCTTGATGACATGATCAGGCACTATGACACACTGGCGACTGGGATCATCTATTTTCACCGCTTCTACATGTTCCATTCTTTCAAACAGTTCCCTAGATACGTACGTATTCTAGTGTTTATCAATGCTGTTTTTCATGCACTCCTTTTAGGTAATTTGGAACTGACTTTTAATGAGGTTAAAGTATATTATAAGAGCAGAACTAAGTGGTAATTGTCTGTAAAATAATATAAAATTAAAGTGTCATTAATAAAATGTGCACATTTTGTCAGAGCACATCATGTGTCCTTTAAGAACAACTATCTATTCCTTGAATGAAGTCTTTACTGGTCCTTATACGTCTGTGTTTTTGGGGTGTAGGTCACGGGAGCCTGTTGTCTGTTTCTTGCGGGCAAAGTGGAGGAGACCCCGAAGAAGTGCAAAGACATCATTAAGACCGCTCGCAGCTTATTGAATGATGTGCAGTTTGCACAGTTCGGAGATGACCCAAAGGTGAACTGGTGTTTATTCTTTTTCCAGACAGCTTTTGCCTGTTCCTGTGGCCGGAACTGTACAGTTATTGTCAATTCACCTGCCTGCAGCGCAAACAATAGGCAGACGTTAGTACTTTTTAATTCAGAATAAAGGATGAAAACGCTTACTGTAAATCAGGCATCCAATATTAAATATTTACAGCATTTTAAGACAAATTTTGAAGCTTTCACAAATCATAAGGGAACTGCTTCTAAAGTGGTTTTGCTGTAGTTGTCTCTTAGACTTCCTGTGGTCTAAATTATAACATATGGCACATTAACTATGCTCTGCTTCTGTTTTTCACTACTCTACCTATTGTACTCATAAAAATGTCTCAAGAATTGTTTCAGCAGGTGTATTCCCCGTTACTGTGCTGGCACTAAGAACAGAAGTTTTATTTCCCAACAGGAGGAAGTCATGGTGCTGGAAAGAATATTATTACAGACCATAAAATTTGACTTGCAAGTGGAGCATCCATATCAGTTTCTTCTTCGCTATGCGAAACAGCTGAAAGGTAGTTATTGGGTCTTCATTTGTCTTATTTTTTGCAGTAATGTGGAGCAATGTTTAGAGTTTTGGACTCATAACTGGAAGGTTTAAATCCCAGCTGAGACAATGCTTTTGTGCCCCTGAGATACTTCACTGAACTATTAGACCCGTGTACAGGGATGCAAGTGTAGGTGGCCTTGAACAGAAGCATCAACCAAATAACTTGAGGAAAAATTGTTTCATTTAGCAGGTTAGTTAATTGGCTCTGTATTCTGTTAATCTGCTGTTGATAAAAATAGGTATAAATTTGCACACTTTGTTGTAGCGAAAAGTCATAAATCAGGGATACAGTAGTGGTATTTTTTAGAGATCAGGTAACAGAAGGGAACTTTTGCGCACAAGCAGCTTATGGATTGAAGGGTCTCATCTGACCGTTTCTTGAGTTGTTGTTGAGTCAGAGGCTCTGGGACATCTTGGAACAGACCCGCACCCTTTGTTTAAAGAAAAACATCCTGATTTCAGTTCTAAAGCACTTCCTTCAATCTTAAAATCACTTACAGTATGTACATCTCCCCAAGAAACATTAAACAAATGTTTCAGCCTGTCCCTGTTTTTCATACTCTGTAGCTTAGCTTTAGGTTGATAAAATTTTGAACCAAGTCTTAACAAGAAAGTGCTTCAAGTGTGCTTGCAGCAGTATTAACATTACCACAGTGACAGTGGCTTTCAGCTAGTTTTAGCAAGCATTGTATTGCTGACAATGTCCTGTCCTCAAAATGCACTGTAAAGACACTTTGAATGTATTGTGTATTTCCTTGGGCTGTTAATCACAGATTAACATGCCTTGGAGAAGTATTGCATATGCGTTTGAAACCTTTTTTTGAGGGTGTGGTTTTGTGTGACAATGTGATAACATTATGCAGCCTCTTGTATTTGGATTTTATTAGATGAAAGAATTCTGTTTTAATATTTTCAGGTGATAAGAATAAACTACAGAAGTTGGTGCAGATGGCCTGGACATTTGTCAATGACAGGTAAAATATTTATTTATTATTAAATTTAATCAGTACACGTTTTGTAAACCCATTATTCTTCTCAAGTTTAAAATGGTCATGCAGTGCAGAAACAATTTAAGATTTACCAAAAACGGATCATTTTAATATCACTTTGACTTACCAGTTTAAGATCCCTGTTATGTTGGCAGTGCTGTATAGCGGACCCTTGCATCTGTACTCGTGTTGTCTGCCTGGCCTTAGCTCTTGCACCTGCAGATGGTTAATGTTTCCGGGGCTGGTGCCCCCAGTTTGTGCACCATGTTGTCCTTGCAGTGGGAGCCGGAGATCATTGCAGTGGCTGTGATGTACCTGGCAGGTCGGCTGTGCAAGTTTGAGATCCAGGAGTGGACATCCAAGCAGACATACCGCAAGTGGTGGGAGCAGTTTGTGCAGGACGTTCCAGTTGAACTGCTGGAAGGTAGTTTGTCTGGAGAAATCTGTGCATTGTTATCCTAACGTTTTTCAGGCTACAATTAAATGGGTAACCATGTGTTTCTGAATATTTTGTTCTAATATTTTGTGGGGGAGGGGGGTGGTTAACATGCTTTCGATCTCAACTAATTTTAGGATAGTAGGGCAAATATAAGGAGGATTAAAAGGTGCAGTGGTCTAGAGTTGAAAGAGTTCAGGTGGGTAGCTGCGTCAGCATGCGTAGGCTACAAAGGAGCAAGTAATGGGTTTATTCCATGCTGAAAAAAAGAAGAAAGAGAACACAACGTTTCGGCCGTGGAGCCTTCTTCAGGTGTGTCGAAAGTTGAAAGAGTTTGCCACACCTTGACCTGGGCTGTTGCCGTGCGTTTTTTTGTGCTGCAGATATTTGCCACCAGATCCTGGATCTTTACTCCCAGGGGAAGCAGCAGATCCCACAGCAGCCGCAGGCGCAGGAGAAGGAGAAAGTGCTGCCCCCTGTGCCGCCACAGCCCCCTGTGCCGCCGCCCCAGGCCCAGCCCCAGCCCCAGAGCTCCGGGCCCACCCCACCTGCACAGCCTCCGCCCAAGAAGGCTTCTCCGCAGGCCAGCCCGCCCCGGCAGCTCAAAAGGCAGCATGTCAGTCCCTCTCGAACCCACCCAGCTTTAACCCCTGACCACTCTGGCCATGTGGGCTTCCTTGTCGGCTGTATAACATCATTGAGTAATTCACCAAGCCTCCTCAAACAGGCTTAGTTCAGCTGCATGAGTCTTTAACTGAGGAGGGCTTACTGTTGAGAACTGCAAATATATCGCGTTGTATATTTATATTTAAATGTTGCAGGAATTAAAAAAACAAACAAACCGCTCATGGTTATTACAGCTGACCCTCTCGGTTTTCACTGGTCTGTGGACGTGCTTAGCTTGAATAAGGGGGAAAAAAACCCATCAGATTTGCCAGTTGTGTAATTTTTGGTGCAAACTTAGTTTTGATGTTTAATGTGCTTTCTTGTCTTGTAGAACTTTTGTTAGTGCAAAACAGTATTCATCGTAATTAGAAGCAACCATGCTGGCAGAAATCAGGAGGTTTATAGAGCTCATGTAGGTTGCTTTTTTCAGGATATCTATGATCTAAAGCAGCTAACAGAAAAGGTTACTTCTTTTCATAGGGGCCTTAAGCTCAATTGGCTTTGTTTTTGGAATTTTCTGACATACTGTTGCATTTGTTTTTATCAGGTTGTATCTCCAAAAGATGAACCCAAGGCACCAGGTAATGTATCATGTGTTAAAATAAGACACTCAAAACGCAGAAGCTTTTTTTGTTCGAGACTGCAATCGCTTCTGCTGGCAAGTGACTCTTCATACTGGTCAGTTTCTTTCTAGCCCTGCTTTTAGTGGGGAATCCTTTAGCATTGCTGTTACAGAACAGATCTCACAGGCGATTAGATGGACAGGTTTTCAGGTCTGCATGTGAAACTGCAGCAGTTTGACAAGGCAAGCTGATGTTACTTTAGTAGACAATGGGCATCACACTTCAGCCTAGTTAATGTATAACCTACTCGTCAGCAGTTCCTTCCTTATATTATAAATTTACAAGTGTTCTCCGTCTTCATTCCAGAGCAAGTTGGGTCTAAAATCCCACGCTTGGAAACTCCAATGCCACCTCTGCCAAGTGTACAGCCCCCACCTGGTGAGTATCCTCGTGTTTGGAAGCACTGGTGTTACCCATGAACCTAGAGACATGATGCAGAAACTGCAAACATGCAGGACGAGGTAGCACATGTCTTTGTGAGCCCAAACCTGGTGCCATTCAGTATTTATCCTTTCTGGATTATTTGAGTGCAGTACATTGTAACTTTAGTCTGCCCCTACAATTTCTGTTAAGCCTGGTGCTCTGGCTTTCATTTCTTACCTTCTGCTTTTCTAAATGTAGAACTGCCCGTTATGTTTATTATACCTGCTCAACCAGCTGTGCTCTTCTGCTTGGGAGCTCTCACAGTCAGCTAGTACTGTGACCTGGGCTTGAACCCGTGTTGAGTTTTTTACCGATTGAGTCACTCAGCGAGCTTCTCGTTTCTGCGCTCTTAACAATAAGATGATTGCATGCCCTGTTGTTGTCTGTGCCTTGTACACCTACAAAACAATTGGAGCATTTTGACGCACTTCCTCTTGTGTATTAATGGCACAGAAATATGAGCACTTAGCAGCTCTTTGCCTTCTAAGCCAACAAGTCTTTGACAGGATTTCAAGGCTGTATCTATTTAGCTTGTAGTCTATATCCACTTACATAACGCCGGAAGGACCCAGAATAACATGTTCTACTCTATCTGACCTTCCAGACAAATCTGATAATTGCCTTACCTTATTAAAACAATTCCTCTTATGGAAACCGGTTTGCTAGACAGCTTTGTTCCTGGTTTGTTTGGCCGCCTGTATGATGTAAGAGCGCCGCGCTGTTGGCCGTGGTGTCACTAGAGGCCCACACCAGTGCATGCTGGCCCGGCGTGGTTCTGCTCGTGATCCGCTGGGTTTCTCCTGTGCGCAGAGCGGAAGCCTCCTCCCGCCGCACCCGCGCCGGCACCGGAGGCCGACTTGGCCGCCGCCAGCGACGCGGTGGAGCTGCCGAAGGCGCCGGTGCCGCCGCCGCCGCACCAGGCTCCCGTTCACCAGCCGCCGCCGCTGCCACACCGCCCGCCGCCCCCGCCGCCCTCCAGCTACATCATGGGCATGTCCACGTCCAGCTCCTACATGTCCGGCGAGGGCTACCAGAGCCTGCAGTCCATGATGAAGACGGAGGGGCCGTCCTACAGCACGATGCCCCCGTCCTACGGGCCCCCAATCCAGTACCACCCGCACGTCTACCCCCCCAACCCCCCGCCTCCTGTGCCACCCCCTCCTGCTACTTATCCTCCCCCTAATCTCCCCCCTCCGTCCCCCGCCTACCCGCCTCCTGGCTACAATCACAGCTACCCGCCCCCTCCGCGGATGCCCCCCGGCCATGGGGTGCCACCTCCAGGGATGCCCATCCCCCCCACCAGCTACCCTCCGCCGCCGGGGCCCCCCGGTGGGCAGACGCAGGTGCCCCCCCCGCTGCCCCCGCCCGGCATGCCACCCGTCTCCGGGATGAACAGAGGAGGCTGGATGAGATGAGACGGGAGGACATCGTGCCTGCCTGGTTTGGATGACTTCCGGTGTTGCTCAGCAGGAAGTGCTGGGCTGTCAATTGCAGAGCCGTGGCTTGACTTGGGCAAGCAGAGTGCCAGCCTCCGCGGGCTTTGCTTGTTTCACAGGTTCTGACACGGCAGGAAGAAGCAGGACACAGAACACATCACCTGTATTGTGGTCCCATAGTGATTTTTCCTCAGTGGTTAATTAGTCACCTTAAATTTAACGTTCAAATTTAGTTAGGTAAAGTCTTTGAACAATCTGTTTTCCCCACAGGAAATGTAATTGTCCTGGAATTTACCTGAAAGAAAAGCATGTTACTGCAGTTTCTCAGCTCTTATCAGACTAAACTCCTATGCAAAGAATTGCCTTACTAGCTTCAGGCTGGACAAATTCTGATTTCACTCAAGTGGAGCTGAATCGGGTTGTCTTTTGCCATTTCAATTCAAAGTTGTATTTGAAATTATTGTAAAGCTAGAACTCCCACAAGACTTTTTTAAAAACTTTTCTTCATTTCTTTGGCATATTCAAGATTGTCTCCTCTGTTGAAGTAGAAAAAGTGAGTGAGCATCTGTTTGCTGCAGTACCTTTGAGCAGCTTTTTAGTAGACAGATGATCTGTAAAAGAGAAATTAATCGAAAGATGTTATGTCAATATGTTTTATATGTGGTAGAGATAAGTGGGATTTTGAGATCTTAGTTTTTCATCTGTTGTTTTTCTTTTGCTCTCATTCCAAACATGCCCATGTGCCAGTGTTCAGGCAGTTACAGTAGTTGCTACCCTGTGTACATTCCTGTACATTCCAGTCGTCTCTCCATCTCTTCTTTGTTTTTGTTGATATCAGGAAAATGGGTTTAAGAAATTAAAAGACATTTCTGCTTTTACACAGACCGTGCGTGTTTGATGTTTATTTTGCAGAACATGGTTTTAAACAATTGTAGATGTTTATGAAACGTACTCCCAAGGTATTCTCTAGATAACAGTCAATGAGCTGTGTACTGATTCTCTGTTTTCTAAGATTTCATCTCTCAGTGACCTTTGGGCAGGTTGGAAGAAATAAATCGATAAATGAGTCTGTTCATCTATACACTTACTCCCAGTACAAGCAGTTTAACTGGAAGAGGCCATGACCTCCAGTTCAGGTAAATGTCAGCTGTCATGTGTTCAGGTTTATGCCACCACTGCAGTTAGAGCAGTAGATATTGGTAATAACATCACTTTGTTTCTCATTGTAAATCGATTGTTAATCACACCAATTTGATTTTGATGTTTCATTTTTCAAACTGCCAGCAGACAGCAGAGTCACATGCAAACCTAAAAAATCTGAATAAGGACAGTGAGGTGAGCAGAAGTTTGACAGACACAAATGTACAAAGAAAGTATTTTATTTTGTTCAAAATCATCTAAAAGTGGCCTGTCTTATATCTGAGTTTTTTTTACTTGCTAAAAATATCATTCCTTTTCAGCTAAATACAGCTTATGAAAAAAATAGGTTACAAATGCATGCTAAGTACTCTACAGGGATCCATATTTACAAAAATTCTGTACTTTCCAGGTTTGTGTATCACATATACAGAAAATACAAAGGAATTTGAATAAACTTACAGATTTCCAAATTAAAATCTCGTCCACAAAAGCAGCATCGTGTTTAGAATTTGTCACATTATGAAAATATTTTAACTTTATATCACTTTGTATTCAAATTATTTTTTATAAAAAGTCAGTAGTGTGCAGTTTGTTTAAAAGAAGGTCACTTTTTCATAAATGTTTTTTGACCCAGCTGAGGGTAAGTGTGCTGTAGTCTATAACGGTGGTGGTCATTCTAATTTTAATAAATGATCTACTGTCTTACAACTCAACCCTAAATTGAACTGTTAAGCTTTAAGGTTAAACAGTGCTTATGGAGCTGAACTATACATATAGTTTGTCAATCTAGTAACTTTAAGGAGATACCAATCATAAAGACCATTTAATGTTTTCTGTTTATTTTGTTGCAAGTGTGCAGTACTGCAGTGACATCTGGCCTCCAAACGCAACTTCCTGTCCGCCCTCTGCCCATATAAACTGGCTCAGTGCAATTAAATCATTAGCCGTGAAATTCTGGTTGTTTAAATGACCTCCGGCATTGTGAAAATGACCTGAAATGTTATTTGTATCCAACTACAAACAGTAATTTTATTTTTGGAACCTTCTCTTGGAAGGATGGTAGTGATTTAGACTAAACAAACCATTTAAATCTTTTTTTAAAAAACTAATGAATTAATCAAGTGTCTTCTTTTTGCAGCCTACAACTTAGTACAGTAGATTCATTGTTTTGGGCTATTTTTATTAGAGATTGGTGTTCAGAAATTTCATTCATATTGACCCTGCTTTGACAGTTCAGTTGTCTGTAAGACCCAAAGGAGTTGCAGTGCACCAATACTGACTTCACGATTGTCAAACAAACAAATCTGGGAAACAGTTTTTTTTTTTTAGAAGACTGGTATTTGCAGTATGTTTCTAATTTTTAATGAGCTAACAGATCTGTTGTAATGTTTATAGTGCAGCCTATAGCTATAATTTTATTAATCTTGTACTATAAACTGTGAGGCTTTTGCACACTGGATCATTGTTGAAAGTTGGCAGCCTCTTATGTTAGAAATTTATATGTTCTTAAATGACAAAAAAAAGTCCACACCACATGACATTTTGTGGCCTACAGAATACAAAATACAGAATGTAGTTGGCATAATACACAAGTGTGACCACACTAGAATTAAATAAAGATAACTCTGGTTTCTTATTTTAAACATGTCTCTAAAATTCTCTATAATCCACTAAAGGTTTTTGCTTACGAGTGACTTACATATTGGTAATATACTTTCCAAGCAGAGGGAGCCGTCTGACAGTGTTTTACAGATGCACCAGTGATCACAGGCAGATTTCTGCCAGACAATTGATTAAGCCAGATCCTCACTGCTTTGTGCAATACACAAAGCTTGTGCAAAACCAAATTCTGAGCTCTAATTATCAGACTCAACTCAAAAACGTAGCACTTAACACTTAAACACCGAAAAACACAGCAGATTTAACATTTTTAGTTCTTTACGTACAGAACCAGAATCCAGACACGGGGGGAGTATGTCTGAACGACCAGTGAAACTAGCTGCCAGTCTTGAATACGTGATAGTAAGGAAATACACATTGGCTAATCAGATACAACACAGACTGTTCATCCAAGCTTGTTACAGGTGGATGGTAAAGTTGTCCAGCTGCACGTTGAACATGTAGTCCTGTCCTCCGCTGCAGTCAGCAGAGGTCATGGTAGAGCAGGAAGGAGACAATGACTGCGGATGACATGAATGCCCATCGTTAGAGGTTCCCTGTTCCAGAGCCGCTGTTCCTCGCTCTGCGCTCTCCAGAGAAATTCAGCTACAAAGGGCCTTTGAACTGGTTGCCCGAGAGGTGCTGCCTGATTGATGGCTTGGAGCCGGCTGCATCTCCCAGCTTGCGCCAAACCACCTGTGAAAAATAGGCAAACGTCAGCTAACATACGCAGAACAAAAAACAAAAAACCTTTCTCTTTCAATAGGCTCTTGAGCAATATCTGAACATTGGGTATACACACTGTAAATCACCACTACAAGAAGTATGATTGACCTTAAGCAAGCACTGCGAACTCCAGACCCCGTGTCACTGTGAAACTGTAGTTTGGACATGGTGACATCATCGCCCTCCCTGCGCGTAGCAGGTACCTCAGCCACCTGGGCTGAGGGAGGTCTCCTTTAGCTCACTCAGCTGGTTCCCTGTTGCGTTACACCGGAGACCCGGGTTCGTGGGACGAACTGGTGGGGTGTAGCGGTGGAGGGCACAAGCCCACGCAGAACCGCGACAGTCACACAAGCACAGTTTCCCTGTGCAGGTCCATCTGAGGCTCTTACTGTACAGTGATATTTCTCACATCTCAGAGACAAAACTGTATTTAGCCACACTTACATTACACATCTCGCGAACAATAGCCTTCTCCTTCTCACTCAGGTCTTCCTCATAATCCTCGGGAAGTTGTTTATCAAGGTTTTCATGAACTTCAAGGACCTTCAAGTTCAACAGATGGAAATCTTTCACTTATGAAAATGATGTACGTTTATTTTAGTAATTAGCAACAGTATTTCAAGTGAAATAATATCCCATAAGCCAATTCACAATCCATTAATGTCCTACTAGTGTGCACTGCAGTCATGAGCTCAGGCTGCTAATGTAATAAAGCTGTTGATTTTTTATAATGGGAGATTTTTGACATTCTCTAAAACACCACCAGGTGGCAGACTTGGTGGCAGTTTTATTGTTAATGCATCTGCAGTTCCCAGAACTACAGGAACCCAGGATTGTGCTCATTGTTACAGCATGACTTAACTTTAAGATACTGCAGCAATAAATGCGAAAGAGAAACAATGTTTAACTATCTGGCTCTCAGCCAATAGTTTATAAACCTGCAAAATGGTTGGTTGCAAAAAGAAAACTATAACCCCTGCCACTGCTCTCTGAAGGTTAATCAGAATGTGTTGAAATACCTCAGACTAATTACTGACTGTATCTTACAGACCTATAAAACAGACTTTTCAAAATAAGCAGCTGCTAAATATGGCATTTAAGTATACTCCTACCCCTGTTGTTTAATGCCAAGACTTGGGTTCACAAAGCAGGTGTTAACTGAGAAAACATGAACTGAATTTTATACAATTAAGAGTTGTCGCTATTAAACTACATGTTTTTTTTTAAAGACTTTGTTTTATTTTAAATTAAAATCTTTATTCACGGACAAAGCTGAAATATCTCACCTTCATGGCATGTACCACAGCCTCTGGCTTCTGGGCAGAAGGGAGGTAGCCTGTGGTGGACAAGGCCGGGTCTCCAGAGCATAGTCGGGCTGAGCCCTGCAGAGACAAGGCACAGGGGTCAGGGTTCACAGGTCACAGGTCATGTGAACTCCAGTGAGCTGGGCCATGCCTCCTCAGCACCCAGTCAAACTCAACTACACTGTACTCAACTAAGCAGCACTATGAGTCTCTTCCACAGACACTTCCCAACCCAGCAGGTCTGCAGGAGCACCACCGCTTGAAGAAAAAGGACAAAGATACGAGACATGAGGAAGCGAACTAAGAAGGACAAAGAGCTCAGAAGAGAGATAAATAAGATTCTGAATGTATTTACAGACATGTTAAAGCACAATTTGGTATGTTGGCTGTACATGATTACAGAAAATATACATTAGTAGGACAAAAATGGAAATACTTCTTCACCCTCCTTCACAATTACAGTAAAAAATGAAACCGCTTATGCAACAGAACCTCCAGTGCTGTTTACAAATGAATCCCACAAGAGCAACAGTCCTAATTAATCATAATTTCTACTCCCCCTCTCTGAGCTCAGGCCACAGCGCAGCACAACAGTGAATCGATTCTCTCCACACAGCCCTCACGAGCCCATGTGTGGAATCAGCCTTTCAGTGGTATTCTTCCGTTAAATTAAAAACAATTAACTGAAATTCCTTCACTGGTGCTCTGTGTGGCCTCTGGACAAGCTAGGGATTTGTTTTGGAGAAGTGTTGCATGTGTTCTTTCATTTGAGTCGACAGTGTGTTTACAAAAACAAATGTGAAAAAGATTACCAAGCAGTGACTGAAAGTACAAAAAGGGCCAGAGGCAAATTTTCAATTAAATCTCTATTAAAATCATTCTGGTGAACTGGCACAGCTTTTAAATTGATAAAGGTCCAATTTAAAATATGCACTATTAGCTCTTAAATGCAAAACTGTAAACACCAATCTTTCATTAAAGCATTACATGAAGCTCACCAGACCAGGCCTTTCGAAAGGAGCAGTGTACTGTGAACACCCTATGACCTTTCTTCGCTGATACAAACAGCAAAATCAGATTTTGAATTGCTTCTGAACAGCTACAGCATTTAAGCTTTGGAAGGGGTAGGGTAGAGAGCTCTCAGGGAGGTCGATTTTACGATTTGTAAAACACATCTGTGCCATTAACCTTCCTTGTGATTCTGTAATTATCCTGCATTAGTGTGCATTATAAGCTGGCTGTACAGGTTCTCTCAGGTTCTCACAAGAACTCCTTAAGTTTGTTCACGCCAATGATGAAGCAAAGAGAAGCAGTGGACCAGAGAGCATGTTCATGGCTGCTTGGTTCACCGCAGCATAATTCTGTGCACAGCTCCCAAAGATATCACAATAATCTACACATACCCAGTCAAAAAACTGAACGATACTCAAGAAGACAAAACTAACTTGCTCTGACAGCACAAGAGTGAGCTTAAACAACTGAGATGCCGGGGTTTGTATCATGTTGTCCTGAGCATGCTAAATGTATTCTGCAGTCAAATTTAAAATGCCTTAATTTATTTTACATTTGGTAAATAACCATGATATCATCCACTCGAGTTACAAAGCGATCCAGTTTTCTCCAAGAGCGCAGACTTGGTAAAGTATGTCAGGGCTGTATTAAATACTGTCTAAAATCTCCCCACAGCTCTTTCCATGACTCTCCACTGCTGATAAAAGTAATGAAGCAAAACCCCTGTCATGTTTATAAGACAGTACGCCTCTGTAAATGCTCAGCCCTGTTACAGAGGATATGTAGAAGAATCGAGGCAACTCACACCTGCAAGCTCAGTAGACACCAACTACGGACAATCAACAATGCGCCATGCACTGTTCTATATTCCCGACATGCCTACTGAGAAAAACAAGCTATTACAATGATAACCAACCACATGGAATGAAAAAAAACACATTTTTGGCACCCCACAGATTTCTCCAAGAGAGAAAGAAAAATATGCAATAGAGCTCTTTCTAACCTGTTCAACTACAACGTGCATATGCAGTATTTTCATATTTTCATCATGAGCAAAACTGCCTCATTTCTGGACAGGAATGAGACAGGGATGGGGGTGTGGTGAACACAGTGGTGTTTTAGCAGTGGAGGTTCAAAGTTATGGATACAAGATGTGAATCACTGGAGCTCGAGTTGTTACTCAAGGGCCTGCCTGTCTGTCTTTCAAAAGCCAGCGCATCACTGTTCTCGCCCTGCTCAGACCACGACAAAAACACAATGCACTAATTGATTCTCTCCAGTAAACACAGCCCACAGTGCAGTATTGTTGTGTGGGCTGAGCTTTGATGCCTGTAGATGAGTTTAAAAGGAGCTCACTGCTCCAGTTGGCACCTGATAGCCTTTCAGAAGAAGCAGGATTACTTCAGGGAGGAACAGAAGGAAGTCCCAGCCACACTGGAACTCAACTAGAAAACTATGAAACAACTGATGTGCAGGACGTTTCAGCAGTGAAACCCCAATCTGGTTTCGCTCTCTGAGGCTGTGTCCCCACAGAGTGCCTAAAGGCTAGGAAGTAACCGAGTCAAGTGGCATCTATCCCTGATGGACTCTGGTAAAACCTGTGTCTCAACAAATCTCACAACCTCAGGCCTGGAAATAAAACTAAGGAGGTATTATACTAGTTTATCAAAATATCACATTGATCATATGACAATGATCTGTCTTAAAGCTGTGCAACGATACTCACAGCACTGCACGACTCCTCCTGGGCAGTAATTAATGCTAGAACAGTCTACCATGTGTTTTAGTTCATGATTAAACAACTAGGAATAATCTAGAGACCAGTTTATCGTTTCCATGGAACCCAGAATCATGAAGCAAAAATAGACTATTTTATACCATCATCAAAAGCATAAGAATGAAATATCAGAGATTGTAAAAGCATTCAGTTTGGAAATTTGTGCTTTCATTTCCTTGCTGCTATCTGGTCTACTTTTTATTTATTAATATTATAAAAATATAAAAATAATTTTGTCACATTTAATATTTTAGCTGTGACATAAATCTCAGATTACCTGCTGCTGTGATATTCTTTGTATCCCTCTAACCTTTCCCATCCATGTCCAATCCCAATAGTATTTTTGTTATTTATTCCTTTTGATTCATGTAAAACAATTACATTTCACATACAAGGAGTTTGAATTTTGGAAGAACTGAAATCTACCTCAGTCCCTAAGTTATACTATTAGGAATTAGTATGATTTTATTATAAGGATTTAAAAGATGTAACACCCATGAAAGATTATTGAAAGATCACCAACTAATACCACTATAAACCAAAAGCTATATGAGAGATTGCTTAAGATAAGATGAACATAGATTTCTAATAATGTTCAGTGGTTCTGCACCCAAGAAGGCTCTGTGGCCATTGCAAGGAGCCTGGTCTCCAGCAGAGTAATTTTCAGATTGTACAGAGTTATTAGGATTTAACAAAACCTCGAGCTCTCCATTCAGTGTCTCCAAGACCACTCTGAATTCCACATGGAGGTTTCAGCTACTGTGTCATGAAATTGTTTATGAAGCCCCTTTAAAATACATTTCCAGGGTAAAGTATACATTTTTAATTAGTATAAGTGTATGCAGAAACCATTCCATTTTTCACATTTTTTGATGTCCTCGGTCCTGGTTTTGTCTTTGTACTGTTACACTGTACCTAATGCCAGTGTAAATAAGTGTCTGTGCAGGTTACTTCTTTCAATAGCTCCACATCCTATGAACCGATAAATCAGTACAAACACGCCTCTAACGTACACACAGGTATGAGTCAGAGATTTGGGCTTTAAGAAGTTTAAGATTTGAACAGGCATGAAAAATAAATTTGACTAACTCATATCTTATCAATCTACAAATAAAACGCTGTTAACGATAGTCCCAGCTCCAGAGAGGAGACTGAGGCCCTCGATTGATTTCTTATTCAGACAGAAGGCAAACAAGCAAAGTGCAATCTGACAGACCCAAAGCAGTATTGAACTTCGATACGCAGTTGACCGGACTTCCCTTGTAAGAAAAGAACGTGTCCCAGAGAGCAATTCCTGCTCAGATTGCTTTCCAGAACACTCATGGTGGTGCTGTCCCGCTGGTGAGCTCTTCCAGAAAGCACTCTGGCAGCTACAGGGCCATGGTCGCCAGCTCTCAAATATAGGCTCAGTGTTCTTCGAATCGGAAAAACGTCTAATTCATGTGAAATTGAAATCTATGGAGATAACTCTTTTAGGCTGGAGCGTGTTTCTTGAGCCCCAGCGGCAGGCTTCGTGGAGCAGGCCAGGACTGCGCCTCCAGCACCTCCCCTCGTTAGGGAGTTGACAGGCAGCGGGAAGCTGATGGGTACGTACGTTCTGCAGCGGCTCCTGATACTGGGGCAGGGAGGAGAGCTGGGACTCCGAGTGGTACAGGGAGAAGCCTTTCCGAAGGGTCTTCAGGTCTCCAGTGCTGCTCTGCTGTGGAAACATGCAACAGGTCACGCCGTCGGTCACTGCTGGCCACTTTCTGTACTTATTACTCGGACAAATCTCCATTCTCTGAGAGGAGACCCCAGTCGTCACCGACGAGGGCGTCCATAAAGAACAAGCAGCAAACAGCAAATTGTGGAGGAGTACAGACACAACAGGCGAAGGAAAATCGATACCTGCACGCACAAGCAGGTTGCCATTTACTGGGCAAGGTGCAACTTGTGCCACAAAATTACAAAATGCCGCATCCAAATTTGTCAGTGCTATTCTGACTATGATGTCATCCCAAAACGTAAAACATGGCTGCTTGCTTCTCGGCATGTGGTAGAGCAAGAGATTGATCAAAGTTATGCAGATGAAGCAGGTACAAAGATCCCCATTTATTCCTTTTAACAGTAGTACTGAGCAAGTGAAGAGCCAGCATGCTGCCTTGACCCTGATCACAAGCTTTTAGCACTCGTGCCCATCGACATGCTGAGAGCTCGGTTTGCAGAGCTGCTGTGCTTCAAAATGGATCGAAGGGTCCTGAAGAAAAGTAAACATAACAGTCTATAAAAAAAAAGGAAAAGCATATCGTACAGGCTGACAAGGGCTCCCGAGGGGGAAAACCCCCCTCACTGGTTCAGGAGGCCTGAGTCTGGCTGAGAGGCCAGAACAGCTGGGTTCCATCAGGCCGCTTTCATCGCGGAGCAGGACAGGCAGGGGGCGCCGCTCAGCCCGTCAGCCCACATGACACGCTCTCCTCCGCTGGGGTCAGGAAAAGCCATGCCACTCCTGACCTCAGCGGGTGGCCCTACAAAGTGCACTTGCAGGCACTGCTGAACTCATCCAGCTGAAACACCCAGCCCTTTCCCAGAGCAGCCTTCTGGGAAAGGGCACCGCTCACGCAGCGGCAGGATCACCCACACAGGAGGAAACAGAAGATGCAGAGACAGACTATTTTTACTTTCAGGGCCAAAATAATAAGTGCAGCTTGTGATGTTAAGGTAAAAAGGGCCAAATTATTTGATCTGGTCTTTACATTGTTAAAATAAGGCGATAGGATCTTTTAAGAAAGACAAAATTATGACAGAAATGTCATTTGAGCCCCATAAAACTAAAAAAATCCCATTCCCAATCCCATTTCCCAAAACAAATTCCATTCAGTCACACAAGCAGAAGAACAACCCAAATAAACTAGTGACGCATGAGGGCTGCGTTCACTGATGCGGACAGGCAAGCTCAGAGCAGAAACAGCTGGGGCTTCAGGGTTCAGGTCCTCACTCAGTACAGTCATTGCTGACTAACTTGCACAATACAGCTCAATTAGGTCCTAAGAAATTTCTGTCAATACATCTTCTGCATGCTGCACATTTTTGCATTAAGTATTGGGTTAGAGGATGATATATCAGAAACACAAGACTCGCACACCCCTGTAGCACCTAGCGACTTTTCTGTTTGATTTATCAGAACAGCAGAGGGACCGATTTATTTTGAACAATGTGTGTAAATGTATCTCAGGTTCCTAACATAATGCCTCAATTGTAATGTCATACAGTCAGGAGAATTTCTCCACTGATCTAGTTCAGCTCACACAAGCCTCTTAGTCTGTATTGAAACATCATTATTGGTTAAGTAAATTACATAATAAAAGTGTAATCCCTCTTCATTTTTACTAGCCATTTTCATGTTGTATCGGTGCTTAAAACCAAAGACTGATACTGTGTGGGACAACCTAATCCATTTCTAACGACTTGTAATGACTTTGGCCATTTTGAAAGGCAGATGGCTGGCTGGTCCTTCTTCTTCCTTACTTCTCAGTAAGTGGCAATTTAATAAGACTAAATGGATGAGATCTTGCCAGTAAACAGCTTGAAAGACCATGCAGGAAACTCATGGTCACTCACTCTAAAATCGCAGGCCTGATAATTGCTGGAAATGAATAGGCCTTTAATGATGGAGTCATCATACTACAGTATGTGGTTAAAAAAACAAAGGAAGAAGATGCAGGGAAGAATTAAAAAGAGAGGATTTCTGCGCATGCGAGACATGCAATGACATATGAATTGTTTGTTCCCTCTGATGGCTGTGATCTAAAAGAAAACATTTGTGCGATGTGACGTTTGAGCACCTTCACTCACTTCCCAAAAGCAGGGTCAGATTTCACACCAATGGAACCCTTCCTTGGGACCTGACCAAAGAAGGGCAGCACTCATTCCCTCTGTTGAATTAGCATTATTGTGCATTGCAGTAAGAAAGCTTCAGCAACATGAATAATTTTAATACACCCTGCATGGCTGCCAGCTTCTCTATGGTCGGAATGGTATGGCCTTGTTCAGGGTGCAGCAGGAGTGGATAAACAGTTTGATTGGAATTGTATTTCTCCAAACAATTTGTTTTATCACAGGGTTGGGTAAACAGAGGTGTGGCTGGCTTACTCAGATGTAAACCTCAACAGGGAGGCACAGACAGGCTGTCTCTGGGGCTTCTCTGTTTACTACAGCAGAATTCCTCCCTTACTGCTGCCAAAACGCTGCTGAAGGTCAAAGTCATCTCTGATCCTAACTACTGGAAACAGCATCCATGTTCAAAACCAAATTTTTACAAGAGTGATGAATACCGAACAATTACTACTACTACAGATAATAATGATAATAATGTTTATAAATGAATCATTAAAATAGGAGTGTGGGCAGAAAGGAGAAAGCCAGCTGAAAGTTCTCTAAATGGACAGCCTACTGCAGCAGACTAAACCACTTAACAACGGAGTTCAAACTAAATTCTTCCGCTTGTCTCAAAGTAAGTGTTACTCCACCAGCTATCGGAGACAGCTCTAGACTTCTAAAGCTCTTTGCTTTATTTCACTGTAGATGTTTAGAACTTAATGGTGTAGTGATTGTGATGATGTAGCTCAGTAAAAGATCTGCTCTTTTTAGCTATTTCTGGGATACTAATCAGCCCATCCACATTCTTGTGTGAAGCTCCTGGAAAACTCCTGGACTTCAAAAAGTGCCTGTCTAGCTCTTGAGCCAACACAACCAGCTGTTTATCAGTGCTGCTAATGGGAGACTCTCACCAGACAATCAGGTCTAAAAATGTCTGAAGGTTTAGGCTCGAGCTCCTTGAGGCTAACCGCCCGGTTGATGGCGTTCTAGTAAAAGTGTCCAGTGACGGTTCCTGTCAGGTTTATTCAGACAACCATTCTCTGGAGCAGTCCACATCCCTGGCAGCACACAGTCCATGTCTGGGCCTAAACACCTCCGATCGTTCTTGACCAACCACTGCAAGAGTGCTGGTATTCATTGACACCATGCATCACGTTTGATTTTTACAAACCGCATGTTATCAAGATACTTCAAAATCACACACTGTAACTGCTGCACTATCACCTAGATCAGGAATCCCAGTCCTGGTCCTTAAGGCTCACACACCTGCCAGTTTTTGTTCCAGTCCAGCTCTACGTTACACAGCTGAACCCTGAATTGACTTTTATGGGAATTATGGGATCAATTCAAACAATCTGATTGTTTTCAGCTATTAAAATGTTGGAGGTTGCCTCTTCATCTGTGCTGTTCATAAGTGACATAAAATTCCACATTATTGAGTAGAAAAAAACTGGCAAATGTTTCAATCAGGAAACATGTTAGTTCAAGTAAGGTTACAATTAAGTAAATAACCAAGCTGACATGAAAACCAGCAGGTCTGTGGACCTGCAGCACCAGGACTGAGCTAGAGAATACTTTCACAGTATATGTAACCGAGAGGCAGAGCACATGTTTTGCATGTATGAGACTCCAGGTTCAATATGTCTCATCAGCAGTCAGTGCTTGAAAGTCAAATACTGTAGCTTCTATGGCAGACTTTTGACCTCCAGTAAACTGACCGGGAAGACTGTGCTCTGAATAAGAAAAACATTGTCCTTTGGGTGCGTTGTCAAACCAAGGTCCTGACATCTTGGTCAATAAAGGTCTCATGGCACTGTTCAAGAGAGGAGAGTGAGGGTGTCCTGGGTATATAGTACTTTAGGGTCGTACGGCATAGCCTCTGTAACCCATCTGGCAAATTGGTTTGTCATTCCCCCACCTGGTCTGCTCTGCAGTGTGACTACTGGCCCAGTTGGGGCTGCATTTCAGTGGTGAATGAATTTCTACATTTAAAGCACTTTTAGATGAACAGCGCTATAAAAATTCAAGGGGATATTTAAATTACTATCATAATATACTACATATATATATATATTACATTGTCAGACAACCAGATAGTGTTACTTTCCTGTTTCATACTGTTGTCCAACTTTGCAGATCACATTTCTGCATAGCAAAAGATCAGAATTGATGTCTACTCTGTATTTGCAATTAATAAAATGTTTTAAAAAGTCACATGTGACTACTGTTGAATTGTAAGGCATAATTTTCAAAAAGAAAACCTGTACATGCAAGATAGCTGCTTCAAGAAAGGAGATAGTGTTTATTTTGCAAGCAGTTTAAAATAAGAAAATGGCATAGGGAGAAGATGACAAAAATAAAAAATTCTAATGGCTTCTTTAATACCACATACTGTACTTCATCTTATCTATCATTCATTATTAACAGCAGTGTCCACCTTCGCTGCTGTTGTTTAATAATTTACATCACTCCGAGGTGGAAACTCAGCTACATGCAGCTCTGCAGTGCAACAGGTAACCGAGGACACACGTTCTATCAGACACAGCACTTACCTTCACAGTGCAAGAGACAGACATGCTCTCCAGCTCAGAGGAGCACAGAGAAAATACACTGTTCATATCTATTAACATGCTACTGCCAGCTTACCATTGGATAAAGTGCAAGATAAAAGCGTCTCACAGTTAATATTAGTAAAAAAAAGGCAAACATAATTTAAAGCCCAGCACCCAGGATGAAAACCAAGCCATATGCAAGCCCCCCAGGTGAGTCCGAGTGTTTACCTGTGTCAGTACCTTTGGTAAACTATTGCGGTTACGGGGCTAGGAGGGAACAGAACACAGTTAGTTTGCAGCCTCCTAACGTCAAGGCTGAACAGAATCATGTGGTCTGTGATAGTCATCCCACACGCGCTTCTACGGGCGCTGTAAGAATGGCACACTTCACCTTTTGACACAAAAACAATAGGTGACCCAGGACAATTAGAACCATCTAAAGCTATAAGACAGAGATGGACAGCTCTAGTTCCTCCTTTTTACACAGCTGGAAACACTTAAACATTATGACAATATTTTAAAATGCAGATATAAGACAAGCGATCAATAATAACAACATATATAAAAAGCTATATAAGATATATAAAAAGATGTCTGTGACACAGAGCATCAACTGTGCTCTATTTACTCTATGTTCAGGAAGAGAAAAGAAAGAGTGACTCAACCTTCACCTTTTGATGCTTACATCTTTAAGCACTCTCACCCCTGGGAACAGCAAAACTTTTCCTCCATGTAGCCATGTCCAATCAGCATGAAATAAAGACCTTTCACATTGTAGGTCTCTTGTGGAGCAATACAGGGTAATTTAAATCAACCTAAATTTAATAACATTAAACCATGGAATTAGAAGTACAATTTCACATATAAAGAAAAGTAAGAAAAGGAATCTGCAGGGTATACTTATATACATCACATTCCTAATCACAGGTGTGAAGATCTACATGCTCCTTTATTCATAATCACTGTAAGAACAACTGGAAAGATAGTCATTTTCTTTTCCCTCTGACAGGGCCATACATGTTCACAAAGAGAAATTCTAGCAGTAACAGTCAATACTGCAGTCATTTCACTGGGTTTGGCACTGGCTGCTGACGATGAAGGGGCAGCAGCCTGAGCTTTCGTGCTTCTGGTGGGGAGAGAGATGTCGATGTGTCACTCTGCAGTGCCCAGGGCCATCACGTGCCAAGGTCAGGCTGGCCAGGGAGGGAGAAACCCTGCCAGTGCTGGTTTGTTTCAGTTCAGCCATGAAGCAGAGAAAAGACTTCACACTCAGGAGGTCTGTGGGAGGTGCTCAACCAGATCACTTTTTCATGCACACTCCCGGGGATTCAGAACAACAAATTCTTTTGCTTCCCATGCTCATTTGCTGCACTGTTAATGGCTCTCAGTGTATAGTATTGCCAGTTTGACCCCTACTACATGCTCCATTTATTTCCTTTTGAGCTCTGTAAGCCCAGAACAAGCCAGCTCAGTCCCTCGCTTTGTAAGGGCAGCGTCCATCAGCTGTGACACCTCTTCAAACCACCTGCCCTCCACACGTAACTCAGTGTCATTCACTTAAACCAAGCACAGATGGTTTGGTTTCATTTTGTTTGTCTGGAACCAACCTCCCTCACCTATTAGCCTTTGACCTGATTTCCAGTTCTCATCAGGTTACAGTTTGGGAAGTACAACCAAAATCTTGGAAACAGATTACTATAAGTACACATACTAATCTGCAGAACTAATTAGTAGGACAAACAATTTTTATCATTGAGGAAATATTGAGTATTCAGTATTTTGCTTAGATGGCATCAAAAGGTGAGGATATGTGAGGAAGTTCAATATTGTAACAAGACATACCAGAAGTGTATACAGTATATATTCTTACCTGTGATAGAAGTTTGTTGTCATCTTCTAAAATTCTGACTTTTGTCTCTAGTTGTCGGATGTAGTTTGAAGATGAATCTGGTGAAAAAATACATACAACAAAAACACTGTTACTATAATATGAGAATTATCAATTAGAAAAACAGCCAAATGCTCACAGATATGAGTTTATTTTCCTGTGCAGAGACTCTGAAATTTAAACCTGACAGCTGGCTGGACACTCTCTTCCTCGCCAACGGTTGGAGGTTTGGAACCTGTGGCAGGTGAGGGTTAAGGTACAGTATTCAAAATATTCAGAGGCACAGCCAACTGGCAACCCCCTGTGAGACAGCTGGATGAGAGTCTCAGATCAATTAGCTACTAACTAATAAATGGGCCAGATGAGTCAGAATGTCCCCCTGTCACTTGCACCTTTTCTTATGTGTTTATATTCTAAAGTGTTGACTCAGATCTGGGTGTCATTGTGAAGCAGTTTTATGTTTGGACACCTGCTTAAGAGGAAATTCAATGCCTTTGCCCCTTAAAAAAGCAGATTGTTTTTTTTCTTCAGTGTTTTCACAGATATTTGCTAGCTCTGAAAGTACATTTTACACTGCACTCCTGCAGTTCTTTGTTAGACTGATAAGTCTGAAATACACAGCATCCTGATACTGAGCTGGCTACATGATAGCTATGTTGCTGTTAGCCGACATGGTTGGTGCTGTGCCTTTGGCTCCAATTAACATTAGCACGCTTGGAAACTCCATGCACTCTTACAGCCTGACATACAGCTTCAGTCCTTAACCGCTTTGAAATGTTAATCTCCTGAGGTATTTTAACCTTTCTGTGCTGCAAACATTTTCCCCTGGCAATGCATGGTATTCAAAGCACAGTTTCCTAGAATAATTCTCATTTCTTTTACCTCTCTGGAACCACTGGCCAGTAAGCTAGTGTTGTCACCATGCTGGCTGGGTTAGCTGGCGACTCTGATGTGTCTGCCTGTGTGTGTGGTCCTTCCACAACGCAGGTCTGCTATGAGCCCTGCGTGCTTGGTCAGCTGTGACTCTAACTGCGAATAAGTGGTTTTGGATACTGATGTAGGTAATGAATGGAAGGAGGGATGAAAAATACTTCCTTCACTGCCCTGTTTAATGTCTAGCTGAACTGCTGAACCCATGTTTAAATATTCACACAATGCATTTATTTGGACATCAGCATAGCTAGGCATTACATGGATATCAAAGACAAATATATATTTATTCATAAAAAGTATGGCTAGTTATCTTCAACTGAAGAGTTATTCACTATGATTTTTGTTTGCCTCTTCTGAGCGATAAGACAGTGTGCTGAGATCCCTGCTCCTATCACAGTGTGATACCAGTGAGATTCCCAACATTCCTCAGCAAGATCCCTGGAATGCCTCAGAGCCCTCAGACAGCTCCTAACCACCCTGCAATCCCTTCAACTCACATGCCTTCAGAAACAAGAGAACTTCTGGTTTCTACTACAACTCTTCAGACAGAGAGACCAGAAAATGGAATCCAGGCCACACTACCGTGCTACATACCAAAGTTAAAATAGAATGAATAGGTCTGTTTTTTCCATTTGTTAAATACAGATTCTTCTGATGTGCAAGCTGGTGTTAAGAGAGGTGGCAGGGATAATGTGCAGCAGACCCTGTCTCCCAGCCTGTGAGCAGGGGTCAGTGAGAGCTGCCACGCACTTGACAAAGGTCAAAGGTGACAATGGGAGAGCACAGCTTTCTTGCAGTGGTCCTCAGGCCACTGAATACTTTAATAAACCCTATGCTTTGTTTACAGAAAGACTGGTATAGTATCCTTACATAAACAGTTACCAGAGCTTTCCAAAATTCACTGCACTGCACTTTTCTTTCAGGCTTATTTTCTTTCACACGCACTTTCCCGAAAATCTAGCAGCTTGACATGAAGAGATCATCAACGTAATCAGATGGGTGTAGAAAATGTCAGAGTGGATATTTCCAGGCTCAGAAATAGCTCAGGCGTGTGCATTATATCTCTCTGATCTTTAACTACCATTATGTCTCTCCTTCCTTGAATGATGCATACCATTGTATAATGCAAAACAATGTGCCAAAATGTGAATTAAAGAGAATGTTTTATATTTTGCTTTTAAAACTAACTTGTCTGTGCTTGTAAACATCAAATCTGATTTCTCAGTAAAGATTTATTAACTACTTTCCCTGTCACAAATGTCAAACCGCCGGCAGTATGTCAGAGAAAAGAAGAGCAATCTGGTGCATAATCCATGGAGTTCGAGAGCCTTTTCAAGTCACAGGCTGTTACAGAACTGGTGCCTCCTCAGGTCAGCACGTCGCAGTGTGGTTAGATGCATGGCTCACTGGTTCAGAGATATTTTTTAAGCCCCACAAAGGCCCTCGCTACAACTCACACTCGTCACATTATATCAGCTTAGCTGACGCAAGCGATTTTAGAGAGAAAAATAACACTGACTTTTTTTGTCCCTGAGAGAAAGAGGAACTGCTTACAGAGAAAACAGTTAATTGTAAAACTTGAATAGAAGGCATTACTGATCCACAAAGAGTTAATGTAACCACACAGCTCTTCCCATAAGAACAGTACTACTTACTCATTGATCATTAAACTGATGTTCAATCAAGGCTGAAGACAAGAAGAAAATCAGACAAATGAGAGAGAAGAGGAGGCCCTGGCCTGTTTGGCTTTTAGCACTTAATTCATCCCAGGATCTCATCCAGCTGTTTGTTGAAAGAAGCCAGAGTATCGACTTCAACCGCATGGCTGGGCAGCTTGTTCCACACTCCCAACACCCTGCGCATGAAGACGTGCTTTTGATCTCAGCTTTAAATGCACGTCTTAATGCTTTCTTCTAGTGTCCTCATTCTGAAGAAGTCCACTGGAATGACACTGTAGATTATGAATATGTAGATCAGGTGCCTTTGTTGTCTTCTCTGCCTGAGACTAAAAAGGTTCAGCTCCTTTAGGAGTCTGAGTGGGACATTCCCTTAGGCCCTGAAATAGAACTGCTCCTCTCTGAACTGATGTCAGAGCAACAATATCTAGAAATCAATCAGACCTCATGTCTGTTTGTAGGAAATTTCAGACAATGTCTCAGTCCATGTTTTATACATGATATAAACAGCATGCTCATTACCCTGTATGCACAGAAAAACTATACATGGTGAAATCTGTATTCAGAATCACACACAAATGAAGTTTCCAGGGTGATGGCAATACGAAATCCACACCGTTTCGAAAGGAGTCGACTCTTTAAAGTGAGAGCAGCCTTTTGGAACAACTGAGTGACCATAAGTGCACATTTGGATGCTGGCATACACAATCTACATTTCTAAAGGATAACACATTATATTGGCATTTTCAAAAAGACTATCTTTAAACTGGTGCACGGATTTCTTTTTCTCCATATATAGGTTGGTTTAAATATTTTATGCAGTGAAACAGTCATTTGTTTCCCAAACCCAGCATGCATTAAAAGGGCTGAAATTCTTAATTTCATGTTATCAGGATTCGAACCAGAGATATAAAAAGCCTGCAGATTTGCATGAAAATATATTAGATATTAATTAAAAAGAGACAGTCTGGTGGACATAAATATGATATACTCAGCCTTTTATCTTTTCTGACCTGATAAACCGACATGGTAAAAAAATAGGAGGTTTAGGTGAATCCAGTATGTTGTTTAAAACTGTTTATTTTTCTTGTTTTGGAGTTTTGTTTTGAAGGCTAGACCCTTCTCCTAAAACACCAGTCCCACTGCTCCTTGTGCAAAAAGAGCCTATATTCTCTGGCTCATGTTTCACTCTTGATACCACTGGGTTGATTGAAACCTTTCATGATTGTGAATCACAAAGACGGAAGACCGCGAGAGAACCTGATTCTCAACCCCTTGTAACTGTTTAGATTCTGGTTCAGAAAAGTTTTAGTTCTGAGAGGAGGAAATTCCTTTAAGCCCAGGAATGTGTCTGGTTACCCTTCTCTCGATTGATTCCAGGGCAGCAGCATGTATCGTGGTGATCCAAATTGTCCAAAATATTTTTAAAAAGATCTTGTTTGTGCATTTTTAAACTTTAACATAACATCCTTAAAAAACATTCTACACTTTTCATTAGATATCCTAACATTCTGTTTATTGATTTCCCACCTTGTCTACAAGATGTAAATTATATGTGAATATAAATGCCTAATTTTTCATTAGCAGTTTCTGCACTTTTATTAAATAGTCAATATTATTATTTGAGTTAATATAAAATGTCATTTGTCCGGCATTTCTCCAGTCTTGAATTTTGTCTAAATCAGGCACTTCTAATCCTACCATTTTGGTATCATATGCCAGCAGAACCCAGACCATTGATATAAATTAAAAAGAACAATGGTCCCCTGTCTGAGCATTTCATCTGTACTGCCCATTTCCTATCCTGTCCTGTTCTCAATCCAAACACATGTATTTGCATTACCTTGAATGCCTACTGCCCGAAAACTCAGAATTAAAAAAAAAGAAAATTAAAGGCACTATTTCATATGCCATGCTTGTATCCATTACTGCTGTTGCTTTTTCAAAGAACTCATAACAAGTTTAAGAGCAAATACTGTCCTTTCTAAATCCATGCTGACTAACACCTAGAATCCTTTTGTCACATGGCTTCTAATTTAATTATTTTAATTATTGTTTCCATAACCATACCAATAATGGGCCCTTTAACTGATTTGATTTTCTCAAGGTTTAAATTAATGGGTGCTTTATTTCCCAGTCAAAAGGGATTACCCCTGATGATATATTTTAATCTTACAAGTTTAACTCAAATTGACATGCATGTTTCCTAATTTGCTCATAAAACGTCAAACAAACAAAAAAAGAGAAACTTTGGTTTTGCAAAAGCACTGGTGAGCAGCCAGGCTGGCCTCCTCTTTCCAATCCTCTTTGCCTTGCTTGTGACCCTCTAATCTAGTGGCATCTGGTCACCTGACCTCCAGTGGGCGCCCAAGCCGCTTATCAGCCTGGGCCTGGCTCTGTAGGAAAGAAAACAAACAAGAGGCAGCCAGTTTGGGAAAACTCTTCCCAGC